GTTCCCCGGGAGGGACGGCGACGGTGGAGGGAGGTGGCAGAGCTAATGCCACCTCCAGGGACCCGGGGCTGGGGGGGGGGGGGGGGGGGGGATGAGAGCTGATGAGGAAGCGGCGTTTCCCTCCCAAGGAGCGGTTTGAGTTTCCGTTTCTCCTCGGGCGTGATGAGCCTAAGCAAAGCCCCGTGTGCGGGCGAGCGCCAGCCGCAGAACCGGCACTTGGCTTACGGCGGGTTTGGTGCTGACGGCTGCCCTTCCCCGGGGGCTGCCGCCTCCGACCACCCTCCTCCAAAGGAAAAAGTCGCTGTGGTGAAGGTCACCCTGGCACCGTGGGGACCGGGAGCCACCGGGCACGAGAGCCACAGGGTATGGAGGGAAAGGAGCTGGGGTGAAGCTGCCCCACTCCCAGTGCAGGCGTTGCGTTCACCACGCGCAGCCAGCAAACCGTGTTCCCCCAGGCAGTGGCTCCTCGCCCCTGCCACCCCTGCGGGACCCTCCTCCATCTTCGCAGGGACCCGGCGCTGCCGGAGGGATTCGGCTGTGAACTGTCCTGAGGCTGCCGAACCAGCGCCGGAGAGCACAGGGACGCAAAGCTCTCTTGGAAATCCTCCTCTGTTCTTCCTCCCTCGCCTTCGGCGCTGCCCAAAGGAGCCGGGTCCCCGACCCATCCCTCTCCCCGCGCAGGCAGCGTCGCGGAAGCGTCTCTGTTCCCCCCGCGGGGCCGTGCCCCGGGTCCCGGCGATGCTGGCGACGCTCCGAGCTCGGGGTCAGGGCAGGCGAGCGCTGACGCGGCTCCGCAGCAGCGGCGGGGCCCCGGGCTGGGGGTTTGCCCTGGCTTCAGGGCAGAGACAGGGGGGGGTCACATCCTGCACCCGCAGGGAAGCAGCCCTCCCAAGCGAGGCCGCTTGTTTGTCAGAGCGGGTGCGAGCACCGACGCCAGGAGCTAATTGCCCTGGGCCGAGGCCAAGCCTCCGGCAGAAGCAGGTGCTCTGCAGCCCCCCCCGTGCCACCGGCTGTCCCCAGCGCTCTCCCCACTGTCCCCAGCGCTCGCCTCGCTGTCCCCAATGCTCGCCCCGCTGTCCCAAATGCTCTCCCCGCTGTCCCCAGCGCTCTCCCCACTGTCCCCAGCGCTCTCCCCGCTGTCCCCAATGCTCTCCCCGCTGTCCCCAGTGCTCTCCCCGCTGTCCCCAGCGCTCTCCCCGCTGTCCCCAGTCCCCACTGTCCCCAGTGCTCTCCCCACTGTCCCCAGTGCTCTCCCCGCTGTCCCCAGCGCTCTCCCCGCTGTCCCCAGTCCCCACTGTCCCCAGTGCTCTCCCCACTGTCCCCAGTGCTCTCCCCGCTGTCCCCAGCGCTCTCCCCGCTGTCCCCAGTCCCCACTGTCCCCAGTGCTCTCCCCACTGTCCCCAGCGCTCTCCCCGCTGTCCCCAGTGCTCTCCCCGCTGTCCCCAGCGCTCGCCCTGCTGTGCCCAATGCTCGCCCCACTGTCCCCAATTCTCGCCCTGCTGTCCCCAGCGCTCTCCCTGCTGTCCCCAGCGCTCTCCCCGCTGTCCCCAGTCCCCACTGTCCCCAGCGCTCTCCCCGCTGTCCCCAGTCCCCACTGTCCCCAGTGCTCTCCCCACTGTCCCCAGCGCTCTCCTCGCTGTCCCCAGCACTCTCCCCGCTGTCCCCAGCGCTCACCCAGCTCCCAGGATAATGCCAGCGCTGGGTGCCCTGAGGCCACTTGCCCCCAGCTCTGCCTGTCCTGGCCACTGATCTCCAAACCAGGCTTCCTCACGCAGAGGGGGCTGGTTGTATCCTCCCCTCGGCGATGTCCCCCCCTCCCCAGCATCCCCCCCCCCCCCCCCCCCCCCCATCCAGGGAGCCAAGCTGGGACTTTGCTCCGGTCCCCGTGCCTGGGTGAGGAGTCCCAGCTCCCTCCAGTCCCTCTCTCCAGCCCGCAGCCCTGCAGCTGCATACCAGGACTGCAAAACTTACTGGAAATCCTGTAGATGCAAATCCTGCCCTCCCATCCGTGCCAGGAACTTGAGCTGCAATCCCAAGAGGGCAGCAGGCTCCAAGCACTCAGGCCTCCCCGCTCGCCATCACCCAGCCTCAGAAATCCTCTTTAAAGTTCCATCAGGGCCGGAAGACACGAGTGGGACCCCCCCACGGCTGGGCAGATGGGGGGCAAAGCTGAAGAGCCCGGACGTCTTCCCAAAACCTCCGCCTGTTCTGGCGGATGGGTCGGTATCATGTTGATTCAGAATCCCTGGCTCCATCCCAAAACCTCCCAGCTCCAGAATCGATGGAAGTTCCCAGTGTCCGGACATCAAGGCGTGGATGGGACCTGCCCCTTCCCCTCACGTGCTGACCCCCAGCACCAGCTCCCGTGTCCCCGTTAAACCAGCCCCGGGGTGCTCAGCCCAGCCGGGAGCGACCGCAACCTTGCAAAGTGCCATTTGCTACCGGGGGGCTGCTCAGGGTCCAGCCTGCAAGAGCAAAACCGCAGGAGGCCGGAAAGCAAAGTAACGGCGAGGGCGGCTGGTGGGTGGTGGCAGCACAGCTTCTCCCCAAATGTATTAGCAGCTCACTGATTCCAGCAAAAAAATTTAGAGAAGTGATGTCTTTGTTTAAAAAAAAAATCATCAATTCTTCTTCACTTACAAACACAGCTCTGCTGAGGCTTCCCTGGGAAGCCGGGACATCAGCCTGGATATTCCCCATCCAGATGTGAAGCAGCAACAGGAAAAAACCATCTCCCACCTCTCCCGACTCCTCTCAAGCAAGCGCCCACCTTGGCTGAAGTCCTTTCCGGGTCACCTTAACTCTGCCCCCTCCGCAGCCCGGAGATTTTAATCAATCACCAGGTGAAACCTAAACCTTGTGACCGAGGGGAATACGCTGAACCAAACGGCAGCGGCCTGAAGGTCAGGGTGCTCCCGCCGCGGCGGCTCGGCTGCGGGGAGCATCTGCTGGGGGGGGCACGATGGGCTGGGGGGACCTTGTGTGCAGCTGGGGCCACACGCCGGGGGCTGTGTCCCCGTGGGGAGCACGTTCGGAGGGGGCTGCAGGGGTTAGGGCTGGAGGGGGAGCATGGAGGAGACACCACAGGTTCGCTGGGGAGAGTTTGGTTTGGATTTACAGGATTTCAGCCTGCACGGACACAGGTCTCATCCCCATCTCAAAGCCGTGGGGTACGCGTGGTGGCAGGAGGGAGAAGTGTCGTTGAGGGGGGGTTGCAGGCTGGCTCCTGGGGTGGGTTTTACCAGCACCATTTCCCCCGTGCCTGAGTAAATAAAATTGTAAATAAAATTGTCTATTTATTGCGTGTGTTTCCCGAGACCTACCAAATACCGCAGTGCTCACAAGGGCCCGTGACGGTGCCAGGATCTCCAACTGCCACGTTAAATAATTCACTGACCAAAGCCTTTAACTCGCTCTCCTCTCCAGGAGCGCAGGCCCTGGGTACCCACACGGGGTGGGGGCACCCAGCTTCCACAAAGGTGCAGAGAGTGCACGGTTACAGCTGGGATGGGGCACCTCTGCCCCCCGGCTGGCTTGGAAAGGGGATTCCAAGCAGCGGGCCTCAGTTTCCCAATCTGTTTTAGTAGGAGGTTTCATGGAGCCCACGGGAATAAGGTGGAAGAGCAAACAGCTGTGGGTGTTGGCTGGGAAACAGGCTTGGAGCCTGGATGAGAGCTGAGTCTGCAGAGGGTGGATAGGGATGGGTGGGGGTGAGCTGTGCCTGCCGCAGGGACCCCGGGGGAGCGGGATCCGGCAGGGCTCCTGCCCTGGGAGGGGCAGGACGAGGATGTGCCCTTCCCCAGCACCTGAAGCCTCTCTGTAGGTACTTGGTGTCCCTCTAAACCTCGATACCACCAGCAATTCCTGGACCTAAAGCAAAGGAGAGGAAGGGGGGGGGGGGGGGGTGATGTTCTGGCTTGGGGTGCTTGTTGCCAGACAGCCTGGGGGGTTTGATGCTGGCTGGTTTGGGAGGCTCGTGCCCAGGATGCTCCATGCTTGGGATGCTCCAGGCCCAAGATGCTCCCTCCTGGGATGCTCCGTGCCTGGGATGCTCCGTGCCCAGGATGTTTTGTGCCCAGGATGTCCCACACCCAGGATGTTACATGCTCAGGATGCTCCAGGCCCAAGATGCTCCCTCCCGGGATGCTCCGTGCCCGGGATGTTCTGTGCCTGGGATGCTCCGTGCCCAGGATGCTCCGTGCCCGGGATGCTCCGTGCCTGGGATGCTCCGTGCCCGGGATGTTCTGTGCCCGGGATGCTCCGTGCCTGGGATGCTCCGTGCCTGGGATGTTCTGTGCCCGGGATGCTCCGTGCCCGGGATGCTCCGTGCCCGGGATGTTCTGTGCCCAGGATGCTCCGTGCCCGGGATGCTCCGTGCCCGGGATGCTCCGTGCCCGGGATGCTCCGGGCCTGGGGACCAGGGCCGCTCTCTCCAGAGCTGCTCCCTCCCGAGGTGCTCGGTACCGTGAGGTTTGGGAGGTTTACTCTCAGGCTGCTCCACACCCCGGGGGTTCGGGACACTCCACACCCCGTGGCCAGGGCACTCTCTGCCTGGTGCCGTGGGCAGCAGGAGATCCCCAGCCCCCAGGGACCCCCGTGGGGACCCCCCACCCGGGTTGGAGGTGACAGCAGGGGAGCTGGCAGCACCCCTCCCTCCCCGCCCCCCCCGGGGGCTGCTGTTGCATTGGGGGGGGGGGCCGCGTTCCCCATCCTCCCCACACTTCCCCATCCGCCCCGTCCCGGCGGAGCCCCGGGGGCGGGGGCCAGGTACGGCGGGGCGGGCCGGCCCCGGCGGGGGGGGGGGGGGGGCGGCGGCGGGGGGAGGGCCCGGCGGGCGGGCAGCTAAAGGCAGGTGGCACCGGGAAGCGGCACCGGTGTGAGCTGCCGTCCAGCGGAGCGGGACCCGGGGAGAAAACGGGGTGGGCGGGGGGGTGTCCCGGGGTGGCAGAGCCCGGGGAGTGGTGGTGGTGGTGGGGGGGGGCGGCCATGAGGCGGGCGGCGGAGCCCTGAGCGGGGCCGGGGAGCCATGGCCGGGGCGGCGGGGGGGGAGCTGGCGGCGGTGCGCACCGAGGGCGCGGGGCCGGCCGGCGGGACCCCCCCGCCCCGCCTTGGGGGGCTGCTGGCGGGATCGCGCCCCGGGGCCGCCCCCCGCCCCGCCGGGCCCCCCCGGTGCTGCCGCCGCCGCCTGCAAAACTGCCTCTACAACGTGCTGGAACGGCCCCGCGGGTGGGCCTTCGTCTACCACGTCTTTATGTGAGTACCGGGGATCCCGGGGAGGCTGCCCCGGTTTGCGGCATCCCGCGGGGGGGGGGGTGGGGGGGGGTGGGAGGGGGTCCCCGGGTGGCTGGGCCCGGTGGGACGGGGAGCTGCCGGTCCCCGCGGGGGAGGCAGGGCGCTCGGTGTACCGGGGGGCAGCCGTCGCTCCGAGAGACCCCCGGCACCGGGCACCGGCTCCCCGGGCTCCACCGGAGAAGTTTCGCGGGGAGTGTTGAGCGGGGCGGGGGGAAGACGCGCCGGCGGTGCCCGGTCCCGGTCCCGGTCTCGATGGGATGGGAACAGCGTGCGGGGGGTGTCCGGCGGGGGGGGGGGGGGGGGGGGGGGGGGGGAAGGCGGGGGATGCGTGTGAACGGCGGGGGCTGAGTCCAGCGGTGGCTTCGTGCCGGTGGCTCCGGTGCGAGGGGAGCGAGCGCGTCCCCGGGGGCTGGGATTTGGTCTGCGGGGTGGCCCGGGGGCCGTGAGCCCCTTCTTGGGGACACCCCCACGTAGCTGGGGTCAGCGTCCCGCTCTGCCGCTGTCCCCTCGCTGTATGTGCCTGGAGGGGGGCCCTGGCTGGGGTCTCAGAGCCCCTGGGGAGCCCCAAAAGCAGGAGTCCCCTGAAGGGGGAACAGGGCAGGTCTGGGTGGGGGGACCCTGTCCTACCGTGTACCTGTAGCAGTGATGGGCCATGGCAGAAACGCCAGCGCAGCGTCCCCGGAGCTGTGCCCGGGTGGGATGGGGGGAAGGTGGGGAACGGGGTGTCCTTATCCCCGCAAACCAGCACCGGCTGCTGGACCCCAAGAGCTTTGGTGCTGAGCCTCCGCACCAAAACATCCCTCTCCAGAGACGGAGCCTGGGATGCTCCCAGCAGCAGGTCTGCTCCCTGCCCAGGCTCAGTGCGGTGCTGGACCTGGGCATCCGATGGCTTCTGCAAAGCAGAAGCTTCTCCAAGCCACGCAGGCTCGGCTCAGCGCCGAATAACAAATTCAGCCCCTTGGGGTTGTTTGCTCAGAGGGCTGTAACGAGGCTGCAGAGCTGGGGTGCCCGTGGTGAACGCGTGTGCCAGGAATGTGCACCGTGCCCCACATCCCCGCTGGGCACAGACCCCCTCTGACAGCATGAGCCAAAAAAAAACGCCTTTCCCTCCGCTTTCGGGAGCGGTACCGCGGTGCTGAGTCGTTAGCAGGGTGCGCGAGCTGGAGCTCGTTAAAAGGCAGGAAAGTGGGTCTTGCCTAAGTTAGCACATTGAGGTGGCAGGATGAATTTGTCACTGGATAAGAGGGCACCTGAGCTCCCCGGGGAGCTGGGAGAGGAGCCTGGGGCCCATTTGTAACGCCTGCCGACACCTCCGCAGTGTGCTTCGGCAATACTACCTACGCTGCAAATACTGCCCGCAAAAAGAGCTTTTCCTGCAAGGAATTAATATCAATGGCAGCCGAAACCTCCTGCTAGGGGAGGGGGCTGAGACTTTTTTGTGTAGGCACTCGCTGGGCTCTGGGAGAGAGATCCCCCTGCCCATCTCCCAGCTGCGATGTGCGTGCCCGAGCGTCCTCCACCAGTTCCTCCTCCCGACCTGCGTGTGTTTTGCCCCAGAAACAACCACGTGGGCCCCAGCGTCTCCCCTTGCAGAGCCCACCAAACCCCGGGCACCCTCCTCTGCCCGGCCCCCAGTTCTTGGGAGACGGGCTTGGCTCTGCGTGGGCAAGACATGCAGCAGTCAATAGCAGGAGCAAAACTTCTTAAGCCTTTAGTGGGATGGGGAGGGTTTGTGTTCACTTGCTCACTGAGTTTTACGGCTGGGGTAACGCTGTCAGTCCTGCCAGGGCCCCCCCGAAGCCAGTGGGAAGATGCTGCAGTGGGTACAAGGTGTGGAGATCTGCTTTGTGAAAACTTTCCTGTAAATGTTGCTGCTTTCTGGCTTCCTCAAAGTTGGTTTTGTTTTTCCTTTGTTTTTTTCTCTCCTGTAGCAGATGGGAGCTGCTAAGCTGTTGCAGTGGTGACTATTGAACTTCTTGGGAATGATTTGTGTGCCTCAACAGCTGAGGACTGTTTTGTTTTGTTTTGGTTTGGTTTTTTTAAAAAAAAAAAAAAGAGGAGGAAGGTGTTATCCCCACTTTGCTGGGGACTGAGGTGCAGGGGAGATGAAGCCCACGGCCCAAGGTCACCCAAGGTTGGGGCAGCGCTGGTCACAGGACCCATCCTCTGAGTCACGCCTGTGCGCTGCCTCCCCGCGAGCAGCCTGGCTCCGAGACAGGGCCGAAAACTGCTAAAATGGAAATACCCGCTGAGAAGTGAAGCGCTTCCCTCCCCTGAGCGGTTTAGTGCCTGGGAGCACATAGCAGGGCTGAGCCGATACCGTTTTTTGGATAAGTTCAGTCTCTTTCTGTCAGCAAATAGATCCCAAACAGCTTCCCGTCCCCAGCACCCGCTCCGGGCTGGGCTGGTGCTGCTCCACCTTGCAGGATGCTTTGGTGGCCGCGCATCCCTGCAGCCCCCCCCCCCGGAGCTGTGCCGGGCTTCTGCCGCGGGGGCTCGGGGCCGCTGCCAGGCTGCTCAGGAATGGGATGGGGTAAAGGTGGTGCAAGCACAGGTGTAAAGCCGGGGCTGAGGTGTGCGGCGTCAGCTGGCCAGCCCCATCCCCTCAAACCCCGTGCTGAGCATGGCCGGGCCGTGGAGCCACGCGCTTCGACAGGGCCGGCTCGCTGGGCTTGCAAAGCTGCTCCTTGCCCTCTTGAAATGAGAGCTACTAGCCCCGGAGCTTACAGAGCAAATCGGGGAGCGTGACCAGAGCGTTAACCAAAAGACTTTACACCCCGAAGGCAAATGAAACCTTCCTTTTCCCACCTCCGCTTCTTCAGCAAACGGGCAGGCTGTTCTCATACACAGCCCGTGGCTTTAGTTGTGCGTGGCTGTTGTTGGGCATGTCCTGGGCACCGCTGCCAGCCCAGCCTGACCCGGGGGCTGCCCCCTCAAGGGGTCCCCAGCAGCCTGGAGCTGCACTGGGAAGGTTTCCAGTTCAGGCTCTTCCTCCCGGTCTGCCAGCCCCTGCATACGGCCAGTGGCTCCCAGAGCCGCTGTCCCGCTGGAACCCGGGGTCTGGGAGCTCGTATCGATGGTTATGAAACTGCTGGGTGCACCAGAAGCTCAGCTCAGCACTTACCCATTTCCTAGAGGAATGCTTTAATAAAGAACAGTTTGACCTGAAGCAAATTAGGGAAGACTGAGCCAGCAGCACCAGTAACAACCAGCAACTCCCTGCCTGAAACACCATCCCCAGAGCCGGGCCAGCTCACTGCTGTCGGCAGCACCTCACCTGGGTACTGCTGAGTTTTATTTTCATTGTGGAAGTGTCACCCTGGGGCAAGGAAGAGCCCAGACCATAGAGCTCATAGGGTGGCTGTCCCCTGGCACCCACCTTCCCTGTGTTGGGTCCCCATCTATGTCAGGGGGGGCCAGAGGGGTGGCAGCTCCTGGCAGAGCCCCGGGGCAGCCCCCGAGCCCGCTCGGCACTGGGTGAGCGATGCCAGGCGCGGGATCTCCTCGCCTCGGGGCTGGCCGGGCGCCTCAGGGAAATCCCGGCTGACTCAGGATTGAAAAAAAAAAAACTGGTGGGGGTGAGATGGGTGCCCCCCCTGTGCACCGGCCAGCTCCTGGCCTGGGACCAGGCTGCTGACAGCCGCTCTCTCCCGGAGATTCCCTGCACTCAGATCCTGTTATGGGAGAAGGCTGGGGTGGGTGGGTGGGATGGGTGTTACGGTACCGCAGCTCTGCCGTGCTCCCCCCATCTCGCCGCATCCCTCCATCACCCCTTGGCAAATGGGAAAGCCCTTTCCCCACCACGCTGGGGATTGCCGCCGTCTTCAGCGCCCACAGCAGCTCCAGCCCAGGCCCCCACCAACCCACCCCCCTCCCCCCGGGGCCATTTGATGAGCTGGAGCCCCGGAGGGTTTGCAGAGAATTTGCTTCATCCCCTGCTCGGTGCTGGCTCTCCACCGCCTGCTTGGTTAAAAACCTTTTCTGAAGTCCCGGGGTTTTAACTTCTTGTCACCAGTGTCTCCCACAGTGGCTGGTGTGGCGGCTTCCTACCCGGCTGCTGCGCTCGCACGGCCAAAGGAAAAGGGGAGGCTGTGCCCTTCGAGCGGGGGGCTCTGCTCTGCTCCCGGGGCCGCCCCGCTCACCTTGCCCGCGCTTGAAACGGGAGCTGCGTTTGGGAGAAACGCGAGCAGGAAGAGAAGCCGGCACAGCAGTTTCCCCAGCCTGATGCAGTGTCACCAGGGCATAAAATTAAGCAACTTCGGCACAATGTGAAACTGTGCATTGATTTTTGGTTTGGTTTTTTTTGGTGTTGTTTTTTTTTTTTTTACCCTTTTCCCCTCTTGCTGTGTCTGTCGGAACCCCCCAGCCCAGAGCGGGAGGTGCTGGTCTGGGTGCCTGAGGCTGTCTGGCCCTGATGATGAGGATGAGGGGAAGCCCCGCTGCCGGGGGGGTGCAGAGGGGGTGCTCGGTCACCCTGGAGAAGCTTTGGTTATTTGTCCCTCAAGCAGCGATCCCTGGGGGTGAGGGATGGAGTGGGGCTGAGCGAGCACCCAGACCTCCCCCCTCTGTCTTTGGGTGCTTCTGTCCTTCATGCAATGTATTTGGGGGTCTCATCCCGCCTCGACTTCTTCGGGTTGATGTGTCCTTGTGTCCCAAAGTCCCCTGTGGAGTCCCCAGGTGCTGAAGGGTGGGGATGGCCCCGATCCCGGCTCCTGGGGTGTAAGGCCCAGCGGGCATAGGAGGTGTAACCGAAAACACGCTGGTTTTCTTTTCCCTCGCTTAAGCCAGCTTCTTGCCAGATGATTCAAGAGCAAAACTATCTCGGCTGCTCCGTGTGAGTGTCTTGGCACCGTCCGCAGGAGCCTTGTGACCGCGCTCCCCGTGGGGAGCGTGGGGCCGGGGTGCTGGGGGGCGGTGGGTGGCACGGGGGTGTAGACACGTGCGGTGCAACGATGCCGTCCGCGGGTTTTGCCTCCCGCTCACCAAAGGACAGAGGTGTTGGGCTCCTGTGCGCCGTGGGATGTCACCTGGAGCTGCTGCCGTGGGTGCTGCCGGCTCCCAGCTGTGGGTGCTGCCGGGTCCCAGCTGTGGGTGCCACCGGGCTGCAGGAGGAGGTGTGCAGCCTGCAGAGTGGCTCTTCGTCCCAACCCTGCTTCTTGACAGTGTCAGGGCACTGGAAACACCCCGTCCTGCCTTACCCCTCCCCAGGACCCCCGGGTCTGGGGGCGAGGAGGGCTCTCGGAACAGCACCCTTCCTCTCCCAGCGCTGATAATCCAGGTCAGGGCCGGGCTCTGAGCCTGTGCTGGGGTTTGTGGTGCCGGTGGCACGACGGGGCTGACCAGCTCCTGGCTCCAGCTCCCGTTTCCCTGACTGTGGGGAAACACTTGGTGCTTTTCTGCTTCTCTTCTCAGCAGCGCGGGCCGGAGCACGGCACGGGACAGACCCTGCCATGGTTACGGGCGCAAACAGGCCCGCTACACCCCGGTTATTTATATCCCCAGGAGCAGACAGGCTGCCCGCTCCACCTCTCCTAAAGGGCCGCTGGGGCGAGGGACGGGGGATTTATAAGACGTGCTGTTTATACAGCTGCAGGCGGTGCTCGGGGAGCTGAACCTCGCGGGTTGGGGAGCCTGGAGAGCAAAGTACCATCCCCACCCCAGTCCCCATCCCCGCCGGAGCTGGGCTCGGGCAGTTTTGGTCCAAAGAGCCGCTGCCCAGCACCGTGGGGACCTGGCAGTGCCACGCTGGGGCCAGGCTTGGCCCGGGGAAGGGAGCCGTGCTGCTCGGCAGAGGCTGTTTGCTCGCTTGGCCCCTGCCTGAGCTGTTTATCCTACGGCGCGTGGTATTTTCCTTTCACTGAGTTACTGATGAGTTATCGGGGCGTGCGCTTCCCCGATGCTGCCTGCGCCCCCGGCTCGGGGCTTCCTCTCTGGGGGAGAGTAAAGTGGGGTCCAGGCCAGCCCCGTTGGAGCACAGGGGGTGCCCAGTGTCACCCCCCCGCCTTCCCAGCCAGGGCACTGGCTGGTTGCTGGGGACACTGTCCCTCTGCACAGGCTCTGAGCATCACGGTCCCATGGGCACTGGCTGCACCCCAGTGCAGCGGCACAGCTTTGCCCAGGCTATACTGGGGTGCAGCCCGCTTGCCCAGGGGTGGCCACTGGGGACTGGTGCCCGCTTGCCCAGTGCTGCTCCTCGCTGGCTGGGGCTGACCTGGCCCCGCTTCCCCTGAGCTCAGCAGCTTTCCCAGCTCACCCGTTCCTCTGCCAGCACCACACTGCCGATGCGGGCAGGAGCATATGGCAAAGTCCCCTCTAATGAAGATTAATGGGAGGAGATTCACCTTCTCCAACCCGGCCCCCCCACCGGGTTTTAATTATTTTGGGGAAGACTTTTCCTGCAGGCAGGCTTTGCTCCTGCAGGGGTGAGAGCAGCTGGAGGGGCCCTGTCCCTGTGCCCGGGCTGCTGGTGGCATGTCCCCTCCGTCACGGGGACGTGTGCCGGCAGGGAGGTGTGCGAGTAGCGGCGGGAGCCCTGTGGGGAGGGGGCTGCTGGCTGGTGGGGGCTGGCAATGGAAATTTTATTGGGGAGAGCTGATGAGCCGGCTCAGCAACCACAGCATCTGCTCCCTCTGTCCCCCAGGATCCTGGCGCAGGGGAGTGGGTGGACAGCGAGGCTCCTGCCCCACCGTCCCTGCCCCATCCCTGTTTTCCAGGGCAACACTCCGTTTGTTGGGTTTTGTTTGTTTTGTTTTGTTTTTTTTTTTTTTGGCCCCACTTGGTGGGTGGGAAGAGCAGTGAATTCGGGAGGGGGAGCGTGGCGGTGGGGAGCCTGGCACCGCCGGTACCACGCGGTGTGTGATGGAGAGGTCGGCCGAGCCCTCGGTGTGGGGCAGAGCTGCTGAGAGCAGCACTTCTGCCCCGAGGGGGGGGGCTGGGGGAGACGCCTGGTTCCTGGCTCCCGAGCTGCCTTCAAGCATCTGACCCTCTCCCTAAGCTGCTTAGGCGCTGCCAGCACCGGGACCGGGTGTTTGCCCAGGCTTTGCAAGTTAATTCCTAGCAGGTGATCTGTTCCCAGAAAATTCCTTTCCCAGCCGGCCCCGCGGGGCCCCCCGCATGCCCGTATCCTTCACCAAATCCAGGGGGATGCCAGGGCGGCCGGGCAGGAGGTGTCCCCACCCCGGGGGATGCAGGTTTCCATCACTGCTCCTGTAGCAGCGGCTTTACCAACCGGCCCGGTTGCTCCCAGAGCTGCTGTGGGGATGGGTGACAAGTGGGGCTCCTGCTCGGTGCAGAAGCTCCTTCCCTGGGGCAGGGCCACCCACAGCCCGTCCCCACGGGGCCAGCGTGTGCCCAGGCACCAGAGACTGCCCCCCCCAGCTCCTCGCTCCCCCCGGCCAGGGCGAGAGGCACAAATCTTTGCAGGCTGGGAGATTTCTGCCTTCTCTTCTGCTTTGTGCTTCGCTGCCCATGTAATTGCCTGCTAAATCCTGAGTGTATAATCTTTATTGCTGATGAGGCACGAAGCAGAAAGGCTCTACCCTGGGCCGCTCAGCCAGATCTTTTGCCCCTGTGGCCCGGTGGCCAGTGACCTGCTCGGGGCTCCCAGCCCAGCAGGACAGGGGTACGGCTGTGCCCGCCTGTGCCGTCGGCTGCCCGAGGAATTAACGGCAGAACTGCCGTGCCGGAGGGAAGGGGCTCGATGAATAATTCAGAGGGAGAAGGAACAGGCTCCAGCCTCCTGCCTTGCGGATGGGGAGTGCCTGGGAGAGGAGCATCGTCCTCCGCAGCGAGGGCAGGGAGGTGTTGAGGCCGCGACACCCCCAGCCCCTTCATTCCTGTAGCTGGCACGTGGTGTGTCGCTCCAGCTCTCCTTTCTCCATGCTCTGGATCCAGCTCCTTTTCTCATTTCTTGGGGTTTCTCTGCCATCAATCCCATCTCCAGTTTCCCCTCTCGGTGGTTTTGGGGCAGGGGACCTGCCTGTCCCCTTTTAGGCTGGGTTTTGAGCTGGGTGCTAACCCCCCCCTTGCCCCACAGTGGGGCAAGAGCCCCCAGCCCTATACAAACTGTGGGTTCGGTGGGTGGGTGTGTGCATCCCCAGGCTGTGCTCAGCCTTGGGGGGGCCCTCAGCTCTCCCCACCCCCAGCACTCAGTGTCTGTGCAGGGTCCCCTTGGCCCCAGCACCCCCACAGAGGACACAGAGCATCGTCCCCCTCTCCCCGACGTCGCCTGGTGCCTCCCCACTGGCGTGCGGGTCGGGTCTCGTGTGACCCAACCAGGCAGCTGGTTCAGCTCTAAAGCTCCACGTCAGCGACGAGTGGAGACGGGAAAGTGCTCCCGCGTGGGTGTCGGGCAGCATCTCCCCACGCCGAGCCCCCCCGCGCTCTCCGGAGCCCCACTGAGGGGTCCCATGGGCATTGCTCCCCATGGGGAGGGTGAGATGGGTGCCCACCAGCCCGGGGACAGGGAGACAGGGCCACCTCGCTTGCCCTGCTGGCCACATCCTGGCCACCCCGGTGCTGCCGGCGGGGCGTCCCCGTGGGGCCGCGGGTCCCCGGAGTCCCCCGGGCCATTCCAGAGCCGGCTCTGGCGGAGCGGTGGCCCTTTGCACGCCATCACGTGGGCCGGTGGCACAAGCCCTCCACTTTCCATTTTTAGAATTGCTGGATCAGGGGAAAAAATGTATTTTTGGAGTTTGATTTGCCTCAGCTTCAGAGTCTATTTCTTTTTTTTTTCCCCTCCTTATTTTAAATGGGCCAAAGCCCCTCGTGTCTTAACCCAGCTCTTGTGGACAAATAGTCCCAGAGCAGCTCCCTGTTAAATCTTCCCCTGGCCCAGCTGCTCCCAGGTGGCCCCCGTGTCCCCAGCAGGTCCCCACGGTGGCAGTGATGCTGGGGACAGTCAGGAGAAGCTCTGCTCCCCTTTCTGCAGCAGCAGCACCCTGCTGCAATGTGGGACCCCCCCACACCTCCCTCCCTGCCTTTAATTAGTGGTTGTTTTGCCCGGGCAAAGGCTGGGGGGCTGCGGCGGAGCCTGGCACTGAGCCTCATCACCTGCTCGGTGCCTGTGGGGCAGCCCGGGGATGTCCAGTGCCACCAGCCTGGGGCCCCATCACAGAGGGGACCTGTGGGAGCGATGTTCCCTCTGGGCACGGGGCTCAGGGGGTCCCACGCGACCCCGGGCCGTGCCCCAGGGTGGGTAGAGAGCCCGGCCCAGCTGTGCCGGAGGGGTGCACAGGGAACAGAGGGGTCCCCCCGGGGCCTGGGTGACCTGACTTAGGGAGGTGCTGCCTGCACTGGGCATCCCAGTGCTACGGGCAGGCTTTGGGCACAGCCCTGCCGCGCCGCACCCGAGGGCGGCTGCTCGTGGGCTCCCAAATGCTCCAGGTTACCAGCCAGGGGCAAACTGTGTCCCCAGTGGCAGAGCCACGTCCGCAGAGTCTCGGCTGGGGGGGGGTCAGGCTGGGAGCAGGGGCCAGTACTGCAGGCTGGGGTCCCCCCGGCCACCCCGACACCCGCACCAACGCATTCTCCTTCCAGATTCCTCCTCGTCTTCAGCTGCCTGGTGCTGTCGGTCTTCTCTACCATCCAGGAGCACCAGAAATTGGCCAACCAGTGCCTCTTCATCCTGGTAAGTGGGGAGCAGGGCTGCTGCTCGGACTCTCCCTCCCCATATTACACCCTAAAGAGACAGAGACAAAGCCCCTCCGACCCCTTCCCCAGCCCAGATGTCACCCTTGATCGTTGGTGTTAAGGATGGAAACGTCTCCAGCATGTTGGGGAGAAGCTGCAGGGTGGCCTCGCTGCTGCGGGCGTCCCCGCGGCTCGGGGTGGCCCGTCACCGCAGCCGGCCCTCTGCGGTGTGGAGAGGCATAAACCTCTGGAAAAGGCAGGGCAGGAGGGGCTAAAAAAGGCAACTTTCCCCCAAACTGTCAGAAACGGCTGACGCTGAAGTTCTTCCGAGTGATGGAGACTAAATTGGGAAGGTCCTTGTGACTTTCCCGCGAGTAAGCAGAACGGGGGCTTGTTTGTGCGAGAGGTAGGAGGACAATGCTGACGGCGGAGGAAAAGGACCCAGCTCGGTGTGAGCTTGGCACAGGTAGGAGAGCCGGGCTGCTCAGACAGGCTCGACGGCCACGGCTCCCGTCTCGCTGCCCTGAGTCCCCCGGGGATGGCTCCAGCCGGGGCTGTGTCAAGGGGGACAACACACTCCCCCCCTGCACCCTCCTCAGTACCAGCATTTCATTTTGCCCCCTTCAAAGCTGAACCCCGCCACGCCATCCTGCCCCTGCCCTCCCCGCCTCACCCTCTTTCCTTTTTCCTTCTCCCCCCCTGGCAGGAATTCGTCATGATCGTGGTGTTTGGCTTGGAGTACATCGTCCGCATCTGGGCGGCCGGCTGCTGCTGCCGCTACCGGGGCTGGAGGGGACGGTTCCGCTTTGCCAGGAAACCCTTCTGCGTTATAGGTACCGGGGAGGGGGGGGGGGGGGGCGGCTTTTGGGAGCACGGGGGTTTTGGGGGATTTGCAGGGTCGCTCACGCTGTTTGAGACCCTCGCCACCCCTTTTAGACTTCATCGTCTTCATCGCCTCGGTGGCCGTCATCGCCGCCGGCACGCAGGGCAACATCTTCGCCACCTCGGCGCTGCGCAGCATGCGCTTCCTGCAGATCCTGCGCATGGTGCGCATGGACCGCCGCGGCGGCACCTGGAAGCTCCTGGGCTCCGTCGTCTACGCCCACAGCAAGGTGAGAATGGGGCGGGGGGGAGGGAGCACAGCACCCACGCAACCCCCCCTGAGCCCCCTTCTCACCCTCCCCTGCCCCGGCAGGAGCTCATCACCGCCTGGTACATCGGCTTCCTGGTGCTCATCTTCGCCTCCTTCCTTGTCTACTTGGCTGAGAAGGATGCAAACGCCCAGTTCACCACTTACGCTGACTCCCTGTGGTGGGGCACGGTAAGCTCGGCCACCGCGGCCCCCCAGCCCCGGGAGGGGACGAGGAGGGTGGGACAGGGCCGCGGGGCGGGGGGAGCTCCCTCCAGGCCTCCCCCTGCTCTGCCCCCGGGCAGGTCACCCTCACCACCATCGGCTACGGGGACAAGACACCGCAGACGTGGCTGGGACGGATGCTGGCGGCCGGCTTCGCCCTGCTCGGCATCTCCTTCTTCGCTCTGCCTGCCGTGAGTAGGACCAGGGAGAGGGTCCCTGCGCCTCCTGCCCCACGGAAATCGGGGAGAAATGGGCCAAATCCACCTCTAGGGTGGGAGAGTCCCCGTCTCTGCTGGCTGGCGGTGCCCGGCACCCACGGATCCCATCCCCTCCCGTCCCCAGGGGATCCTGGGCTCCGGTTTCGCCCTCAAAGTGCAGGAGCAGCATCGGCAGAAGCACTTTGAGAAGAGGCGGACTCCGGCGGCGAACCTGATCCAGGTAGCGCAGGGCTGGCGTGTCCTGCCCCATCCCCTCCCCCGGGGATGCTCTGATGTCACCCCCCACCCCCGGCTGCTCTGCCCGTCCCTGCCTGCTGCAGGCAGCACCCAAGCGCCTGACCCCGCAGCCAGCACCCGGCTCCTTCGGGCCAGATTCTGCCCGTGGTGGCCAAGCGGGATGGAGGGGGCTGGTGTTGGAGGTGGGGGGGAGCTGGGGTCTCACCTCCTGACCCCTCAGGGGCTGATCCCGATGCCCGTGGGCTCTCGCCCCCACACAGGCTGCCTGGCGCCTGTACTCGACGGACGACAGCCGGCCGTACCTGACAGCCACGTGGTGTTACTACGACAGCCTCCTGCCCTCCTTCAGGTAGGCGAGGTGTGGGTGAGGGCTGCGGGGGTCCCCGGGGGTGGTGGGGGGGTGGGTTTCGCCAAGCAACCTGGGCAGCCCCCACCACGAGGGACCACGCGGAGCCACCGAGGGCTCGGTGGGGCTGAGCAGCACGGACGTCTTGCTCAGCCTCGGGACGCCGGAGCCCCCAGCACAGCATCTGCCAAAATGTCCGACGCCCTCCTCCATCCTCACCGTCCCCGCAGCGCCCAGCACCCATCCCACCCCGTCCCCTCTCGCCCCATCCATAGCCTTCCTCCAGCACCGCCGTGGGGAAGAGGATGGTGCCACCAGCCGCCGGGACCTCGCGGCTGGGGCGATGGAGCAGCAGCAGAGCAGATGGACCTGGGGCAGGGGGGGTCCCTCGGGGAGCCCCATGCCCTGTCCCCGCGGCGTTCTCCCCTCCACGGGTGGATCAAAGATCTTTTCCAAAGGCCCCGTGTGTCCCCGTCGCACCGAGCGTGCCAGGGTTTGCCGTGGGGTCCGATCCTCGCCCCGGCGCAGTGTGCCGCAGCCCTGCCCTCCTGCCTGCCCCTGCCTGCGCGTCCTGCCTGTGTTCCTTTGCAGTGACAAATTCATTATTCTGTTTCACTCTTTTTATTTTTCCTAAGACAGGGCTCTTAACAGCCGCCGCAGCACATCCCTCTGGTCCCCAACCGAGGGGATCCTGCTTCCCGTGCATCGCCGCCGAGCACGGTGCTGGGCTCTCCCGGCACGGGCATCACGGGGGGGTCTTTGCCAGCCCCTCCTGCTGTGCCTGGAGCCGTTTCTCTGGCAGCAGGGAGTTGAGATAAGGCCAGCCTCGGTCGCTGTCAGGTCTGAGCTTTCCTCTCCTGGCTGCTCTGGCAGTGCCCAGACCCCCAGATCGGATGGTGGCAGGTCCCCCCTGTCCCCACTCCCTGGCAAGGGTGGCTGTCCTGCCTGTCCCCTGCTTCACCCATCCCTCTCAGCACGGGTCCAGCCTCTGTGGGACCCGTTCCCAGCACCATCACCCCCAGGTGCTAGCAGCACTGGTCGGAGCTGTTAAGAAACTGTCTTTTGAAAGCAAGTGCTGTTTTTTGTTTCTGGTTTTGCTTTGGTTTGCACAGAAGAGGACCCAGCTCTGCTCGTCCTTGGTTTGCTCATCTCATTTGCTTTAGAAAGTTTAATTTCTCCATGTTTTTATTTAACCCCAACCTCAGAGAGCTGGTCCTAATGTTTGAGCATTTGCACCGAGTCCGCAACGGAGGATTTAGGAATTCAGAGGTGAAAAAATTGCCTGACGGAGCCCCACCGCCTTATCACTCCTTCACCCCTGGCCAGAAAAGCATCAGCCCTGCCGCTTGCTCGGGGGAAAGGTAGGAGGGTGCAGCCCCCCCCAGCCCTGCCTTCTCCCTCCTCTCTGCCCTCTCTCCTCTGCTCGTCTGTGTCCGCCTGCGATGCCACCGCAGTGCCCGTCACCGCCAGACCTGGACCCCGGAGGAGCAGCCCTCGGCCCCCCTCCCCACCCAGCGCTGTGCTGGGGCACCCATCCTGCTCTGCCGCTGGCTGCCGGCACCGCTCCCGGCTCGCAGCTCCGGAGGGGGCACGTTTGGTCCCCGCGGATGGACTCGGGGCTGTCGTACCGTCGTGAAGCCTCTTGCAACGTTCAGCTCCACCTCGCTGCCCTTTCTGATGTGGCCACAGCACCAGGACCTCGCACGCGGGGTAGCCGAGCGTGGCTGAAAAGGGCCCTGCAAAGGCAGCGCTGCAAGCCCGGCGGGGCTGGAGCTGCGTGGCCCTGCTGCAGGGCCAGGCAAGGAGCAAAAACCAGTCCCTCCAGTCCCAAACGGGCTTCCAGTGCCCACAGCAGTGGGGAGCAGCGATGCCAGCCTGCCCCAGTGCTGACGAGAAGAGGCAAGAGGGTTTGGGGCTGCCGTGCTGCTGGTGGCAGCCACTCTGCGCCGTGTGCCCGGTCCCCTCTGGCCGAAGAGCATCCCGGAGGCCCCGGCGTGCCGCCACGGCTGCTGGCCTGCCACCCCAGACATCGGCACGGCGTGGGGCCCTGGCCCAGCGTCAGGGTTAGGTGGGGAGGGGCAGCGTCGTTCCTTCAGCGCACCGTGCCTCAGTTTCCCCTGTGATGCTGGCTGCGGGGGGGTCTGGCGTGGCACGGGGATGTGCCAAGCCGCGGGGCTGCAGCTGCCCTGCTGCGGGGGCCGAGGGGGACCTGCTCCCTCCCCGCCAGCCCTGAGGTGAGTATGGGTTCGGGGGCTCCTCCCTGCGGCAGCACCAGCCTGGGCTCGGCTTCCCAGCGAAACAGGAGGGTCTGCAACCCCCCCGGGGGGGCCCGAGCCTGCCCCCATCTCTTCTGCGAGCATCACCTCTCATAACATCTCATCTTCTCTCTCTCCTCCCCTCTCCTGCTCACCCTCCTCCTCTCCATCCCTCCAACCCACCCCCAAACCTTCTCTGCCCCCCCCCATTCACCCCCCCCCAAGCTGGAAGGAGGAGGACGTGCGGCCCCACAAGTGCTTACGCCTCAGGTAACGTTCGCCCCCGGCAGCGGCCGCAGCGAGCGGGCAGGGGCCGGGGGTCCACAGAGCCCACCGGTGTCCGCAGGGTCACCGCCGCTCAGCAGCCCGGCACCGCGTGCCGCCTCCAAATCGCTTTTTGGCAGAGCTCCGCCGCTGAGAAACCGGACTTTTCCTCTGCGGGGGCAGGCGTTAGTGTTTATGCAGGACCTACACAAACAACTTGACTCGTGCTTTTTGCCTCCTACAGCAGAGGGGGGTTCCGTGGCTGGGTCCGGTGCAGCGGGAGATGCTCGCTGCCGGCACGCAGGGACCCTGCGCCCATGCACTGGGGTGCGGGCAAGCCCCAAGGAGGGGGGGGGGGGGGGGTCGGGGACACGGTGGCCTGGGATGCTCCTTTCCCTCCCGGCCACGGGCTAACTCTTGTTTTCTCCTGTGTCTCTGCCCTGACCCTCCAGCCCGATCTTTAGTGGTAAGAGGAGGCTCTTGCGGACGTGGGGCACATGGAGACGGAGGTACTGCGTCCCGGCTGCGGGGAGCACCGGGGCTGCATGGTGCTCCGGGCCGGGCTGCCTGCTGGCTGCAGGGTGGAGGGGGCTGGGGGGGGGGGGGCGAGGGGGGCGTGAGGCAGAGGAGGGAGAGGCTGAAGGGTGGTTGTTGCGCAGGGCAGAGGGGTCTGCGCATGGCCTGAGCTCAGCCGGCTGTCCCCACTCTCTCGCTTAACCCCACAGCTAGCCCTGCCTCAGTTTCCCCGCCTCCGTGCAGCGTGGGGGAGCCCGGTCCGTTGGCCGTGCTGGGCTCGCCAAGTCCAACACCAGCAAACGGAGGCACTTGGATGAAACCCCGTCCCACGTCTGTCCTGCAGCCTGGGACCCCGGGACGCCCGGCAGCACCGCGCTGCAGGGGCTTGGGGTGGCCCTGCCTGCCGGGGAGCCGGTCACCAGCACAACCTGCATGGGGAGATGCTGGGAGCCCAGTGCCCTGCCTGTGCCCCTGCCTGTGCCCCTGCCTGTGCCCCTGCCTGTGCCCCTGCTTTGCCCTGTGACTCCTGGCCCAGGAGCCTCCCCAAACGCCGGGATTCGCAGAGCCTGTCGTGCACCGGCTGGGGGGTTGGCTCCGTGTCCTCGGCTTCCCCCGCTCACATCCTCTCATCCTCCTTGCACGTCCCGAGGCGCGCTTGGGGTCCCACGTCACACAAAAGGCAGCACCAGGCGGTGGGTTTGTGTAGGTCCTACATAAACGATGCCTGCTGTTTCCCCCCCTCCGCCTCTCCCCAACCCGGCGGAGCAGCTGGTTCCAGGAGCAGAGCTCATGTTAGGGCGGGGGGGGGCTGCTCTGCTCCCCCACCAGAGCAGAGCCTGGAGGAGGAGGAGGAGGATGAAGGGGCCTGGCTGGGTGCCCCAGGATTCCCAGTGCCAGTGGGGATTTGGCAAGAGCAGGGCTGCTCGCTGCTCTGCTGTGTGTCCTCCCTCTCCCTGCTCTGTCTGTCCGTCTGTCTCCTTTCTCTGCTCTTGAGGGGGGTGGTGGTGGAAAGGTGTTTAAAGGAGTAACCCCAGATCTGCTCCTCCATGGGCACGCCTGCTCCTGGCCTGGCTCGCACACGAGCTCGTGCCCGTGGCGTGCTGGGGGCTCCCCGTGAGCTCGGCACAGCCACCCCCCATCCTCACACACCCCCCCACACACCGTGTGTACCCACAGCAGGGATCTGCTCCTGTCCCCGTCCCTGTCCCTGTCCCCGCGCCGGCGCCCGCTCGCCTCTGACTCTGCCCACTCTCTCGCTCAGCAACAAGATGGGCATCAAGGACCGCATCCGGCTGAGCGGCTCGCAGCGGCCGGGCAGCCGGGGCCGACAGCACCTGGGGCCCCCCCTGCACCGCTCCCCCAGCACCGAGGACATCCCCGAGGCCTCCAGCCCCACCAAGGTGCAGAAGAGCTGGAGCTTCAACGACCGGACCCGCTTCCGCACATCCCTGAGGCTCAAACCACGGACCCCGGTTGAGTGTAAGCCCTGGGGACTGGTGGGGTCTGGGTCCGGTTGGGGGGTGGGGGTCATGCTGGGAGGCTGCAGGCATTTTGGGGGCACAGGGGGGACAGCCCTTGGTCACTGCCACCCACCCACGCACGGCACCCACAGCTGACTGCCCGCCGGAGGACAGCAGCGAGGAGAAGAGCTCCCACTGCGACCTGACCTTTGAGGACATCATGCCAGCAGTGAAGACCCTCATCCGGGCTGTCAGGTGAGACCGCCCCTTCCCACGTCCCCCCAGCGTACCTGCTGCCATCCCCAGCTCCTCCACAGCTCTCAGCCCTTGGGGACAAAGGGACGTGTCCAGAGAGCCCCAGCCCAGCTCATGGTGGTGGCTGAGCCAGGCAGGGAGCAGGGACAGCTCCTGGCTCAGCCCCCCATGGGGACAATGACCAGGACCTCCGTGCTTTGCACGCACTCCCCGCCCTTCACCCCCTCGGCACAGAGCCCCCGGGTACCTCCCCAGTACCCCCGCAGCCAGCCCCGGGTGTTCCTGCAGGATCCTGAAATTCCTGGTGGCCAAGAGGAAGTTCAAGGAGACCTTGCGTCCCTACGATGTCAAGGATGTCATCGAGCAGTACTCAGCCGGTCACCTGGACATGCTGGGCAGGATCAAGAGCCTGCAGATGCGGTGAGCTGCCCTGAAGGTGGCTGGGGGGGGGGGGACACAACACTCTGGGCTCCCCTGGGTCTCCTGCTGCTAGCCATGCCATCTGGAAGGGGTGCTGGCCCATCGCGATGGGTGGGACGCGTTTCCAGTGCCCCGTCCCCATCCCTTGTGGTGTCCCGTGGTCCCCTGGGGATGATGGGCTGTGTCCCCTTCCCTCCCTGCCAGCGTGGACCAGATCGTGGGCAGAGGGGCCCTGGCTGTGGACAAGAAGATGCGGGAGAAGGGGGAGAAGCCGGCGCTGGAGACGGAGCTGGTGGACGAGCTCAGCATGATGGGGCGCGTGGTCAAAGTGGAGAGGCAGGTCAGGAGGGGGACGGCCCCCAGGGAGAATGTTGCCCTCCCTTTCGGGCTGGGGGAGCAGGGACCCCCAGGTCCCCTCCCCGCCGGGAGGGACACGCTCAGCCCTGCCCACCCTCGCAGGTGCAGTCCATCGAGCAGAAGCTGGACCTGCTGCTCGGCCTCTACTCCCAGTGCCTCCGCAAAGGCTCCTTGAACTCCTTCAGCCTGGCCGCCGTGCGGGTGCCCCCCTGCGAGCCTGACATCACCTCCGACTACCACAGCCCCGTGGACCACGAGGACATCTCGGTCTCTGCCCAGACCCTGAATATCTCCAGGTCGGCCAGCGCCAACATGGACTGAGCAGGGAGGCAGCGGGACAGATCCTGCCCGCGCGCAGCCGGTGGGGTGAGGTGCCGGGATGCGGGAGCAGCGCGGCATCACCTGGCCCCCCTCTAGCCACGTCCCTCGCTGGGTTACTTGAACCAAGTCTTCCTTCGTGGGGGCACGGCTGCCCCCGCTTTGGGGAGGGGGTGGGAGCCCGTGGCCACGCGGCACGGCCAGACCACGCTCCTGGGACGCTCCTTCGTGGTGGGGTGAGACCACCCCCCAGCTCCCGGGGCCTTGAGTGCTCCCCAGCCATGGCAGGGATGCTCCAGGTGGGCCCCATCCCCTGGGGTTTGACTCGTACCCCCCAGGACACATCCAGCTCCCCAGCGGGGTCCTGCCGGCTCCCCCGGAGCCGAGCCAGCTATGCAAGGCTCCATCGCCCTTCGCTGCCGGTGCTGAGCAAGGGACGTTGGGGCACGACCCAGTGTGGTTTTATTTGCATCGTTTCAAGTCAGGGCAGCAGTGGGGGCACCACCCCCCCCCGCCCCGGGCCAGGGAGCAGGGGTCTGTCCCCCCTCACCCTCTCTGCCTGGGTTTTTTTTCCTGCACGCAGGGCTGCAGCGCTGCAGCTGCGGCTCCACCTCTAGAAGCACAGCAGAGCCTTCTGCCTGCCCGTGCATGCTCCCAGGGCAATATATATATAGAAGATATATATATATGTATATTTATGCAATAATGTCTTAATATGCAACACCCCCGGGAAGTGCAACCCGTGGGGACGTAGGCAATAAGCAAATCCCCCCTGTGAGCACACAGGGCTGGATCCTGCTGCCAGGGGGGCCCGCCTGAGTGCCCGGGGGGTTCAGGGCTGGGTGATAAACCTCTGCCCAAGGGTGGCCCTGGGGCCATGGGGCTGGGCAGGAGCGCTGGAGGAGGGAGGGCTGCAGGCACAGGCGATGGGGACAGTGATCCCCAAGGAGCATCCCTCCCTCTCATGTCTCAGACCCTGCTCTTGCTTGGAGGATTCCTTCCCTGCCGGGTCCTGCGGTGCTCAGTTTGTCCCTCCCCATGTCCCCATCCCCTCCACGAGCACGGGCTGGGCATGGGGGATGACTTCCCCGGGGGGGGGACGGAGCGGTGTTGGCCATGCCACTCGCGGCACAGCCACGGCAGCTCCCGCGCTGCCCCGCTCCCCTTTGCTGCCCTGACCCCAGCCCCGGGGCCGGTTTCCAGTCCCGCAGCGCTGGGCTGAGCCAGGCTGGAAGCGATCGTGGTAGTGCCAAAGTTTGCCGAGCTGGGGCTGGCACCTGCTCCTGCGTAGCTGGGGGTCCCGGGGGTCCCGGTGCCCGGCGGGGCTTGGCAACCACCACCCATGTGGTCGCGGTGCCAGGATTTAACCTGGGCTGGGGGGGGACCCACCGATCCCCCCGCTGCTGGTGCAGCCCCTTTCTGGGCTTTGGACTGTGGGATTTGCACCCCCCCTGCTTCCCAAGCCCCCCTGTGCCTCTGCTCCCAGCAGCGGGGACCCCCGACCCTCCTCGTTTTTCTTGCCTTGTTAGTGCATGTGGCCAGCGCGGGCCGTGCCAGAGCCGCTTGCAGCCCCCCCACCCTGCTCCTGCACCACCCTGGCCCCCCTCCCCTCGCCCCGAGGGGTGCCCGTCCCCCCCCCCAGCTGGGCCATGGGGCAGCAGGGACACGAGGGGACAGCTGGGTGCCATGGGTGGGCAGGCGGTGGGTTGGTGCGTGGGTGCCTGGCCGCGGTGGGACGAGGGTGCATGCGACAGCTTTGCCCGCAGCCGCACGCAGGAACGAACTCGTAGGACCCTCCCCGGGGCTGGCTGGTCCCCGCAGACCTCCCCAGCCAGCGGTAGTTACCTCACTTGATTAACTTATTAACTTATTTGTTTCATTAAAATTTGGAGTAGAGGCTGCCTGCCTGCCTGCTGTCTCTCTCCCGGCTCTCCCGAGAGGTGGCACTCCAGCCCTGCCGCCGAGCGCCGCGGCCAGTGGCCCCAGCCATCCGGCCAGTGGCCCCAGCCATCCGGCCAGTGGCCCCAGCCATCCGGCCGCCTCCGTGCCCCCACCCTGGGCACCCCTCGAGCTGCAGCGGCCCCCCGAAATGGGAGCGGGGTCCCGGCTCTGGCTTGATCACCCTCCCCAATTCTGTGTTGCCACGTGCCCCGGGGGCTGCAGGCCTGATGCCGCTGCAGAGGGGCCCGTGCCCTGTGTTTGGAGCCCAGGGCTGATGGGGAGGGTCGCTGCCCCGGGAGGGGCTGTACCCCGTGTGCCTCTTTAGAAGTGTCACGGTGTGTCCCCAAACGGGGGATGATGCTGCGCTGGCCCCAGGGCCACCCCAGGAGAGGCGAGGGTGCGAGCCCCCTTCCCCAGCAAGACCCCTCAAGGGATGGCAAAGCCAACACCCCAGCTCCGTGCGCTGGCACCCCACGTGTCCCCTAGCCTGCAAATGGGGGGTGGCCCCATTCTGTGCCGCCCTGCCCCGGCGCTGGCTGGGGAGGAAGCCAGGGCTCACCGCGGGTCAGTCCCTGCCTTTCCTGGCTGCATCTTGCCAACAAACCTGCTCCCGGCTCGTCCCGGAGCAATGCAGGGACCAGCACCTCCCTGCCCCAGCTGCACTGGGCTGCTGGGACGGGGGGGGGGTCTCAGGGTGACTCCAGTTCACCCCCACAGCCCCATCAAGTGCCTGGCATGTGGGGGGGTGATCCCGGGGGAGCCTCGGCCACCCCTGGCACTGTGCACGTTTGGCTCGCGTGTGACCCCGGGGCTGCTTTTGAAGGGGGAGCCAGGACACGGCAGCACCCAGAAAGCCTCCGCGTGAGCGGCTGGGTGGCTGTCCCGGGTGGGTTTGGGGGGACACATCTCCACAGCCCTGCCGCGGGGTTGGGCATCGCCGGGGGTGCTCACCCTGCACCCCAACGAGGGATGGCAGCGCTGCGCGATGGGTGAAGCTCAGCAGATCCCCTGCTGCTCCGTGGGGCATCCAGGGACAACCCACCCGGGGTCTGGGCTCTTTCCACCGCTCGGCGGTGGGACCTGGGTGCCGGGCAGGGTGGGCGTGCGGGACAGCCCCCCCAGCACTCCGCTTGGCTTCCTGCGCCCACGTGAGCCTGAGGTGCCCCGGTTGGACTTTGCCCCCCGCTCCACCTTGGCTCCTCCACGTGCGCTGCCGCTCCCCGGCGTGGGGACAGGCCTGGCTGGTGGGGACACGCAGCGGGGGACACGCCGGTGTCAGAGGGACACAGCGAGCTGGGACCCCGCAGTGCCGGCTCGCCGCGTCCCACCGGGAGCGACGCTTGGCACGCCCGGCACGGAAGGGGATGAGGTGGGGGGGGGGGGGGGGGGGGGGCTCACAAGCACTTGCACTATCGCCGCTCCCGCATCCACACACAAGCCCTTATCGGCTGGAGGGGGCCAAGGCCAGCAACGGGAAGGGGAAGGGGCCAATCCTGCTGGCAGCGCCCCGCGGCATCCTCAGCCGCTGCCAGGAGCCTGGCACGAGCACAAGGACCTCGACCAGAAACCGGGGTGAGGGGGTGGGGATGGGGATGTCCTTTTTGCCAGTGGCTTTGCTTTGTCCCCTGAGGGTCTTGGGGAATTTGTGACTCACTCTGGATTCCTGTCAGTCCAGTCATAGAGAAAGTACGTGTGGTTGGAGACAGTCGGACTCCGGGCCGGACCCAGTTCCTTCCTGAGGCGCTCAGCAGCCCTCCGGCTCCGCACGCTCTGCCCAAGGCCGCGCTTACAGGAAAAGGCCCTTCCGAGAGCGCTGGCCGAGCAACCGGCCGGGGGGGTCCCAGCGGGATGGGGCTCTTGCAGGACCCTCGTTTGGGCACCCAGAGCAGCCTGGGGGCCCAGGGAGCAGGTAGCCCTCATGCCCAGTGGGATGTGGTGCTGTCCGGGCACCTGGGGTGCAAGCACAACCCCGAAGAGCCACAGCAACCTCCTCACGGGCTGCAGCCGGGAGCCAGGAGCCCTCCAGCCCGTGGCCCTGGGCTCAGTCTCTTCCTCGGCTGCCTGGGGAGCCCCGTTCCCCGCCCCCCCCACTGCCCACGGTGCCTCCCGTCCTGGCTGCTGTGAGGCATCTTCGAGGAATCCTTTGGCAGCGGCCAGGAGACGCTCCTCGAGGGCCAGAGATGGGCAGGAGCCGTCTTTGGGGGTGGGCGGCCAAAATCCCGCAGCGAATAGTGGTGCTGCAGAGGGAACCAGGAGTTTGGGGGGAGGCCAAGACAGCGCCCCCCTTCCCCAGGTCCTGAGCCCCTGGCTGGACACCGGCAGCAGGGACATGGGACTGGCTTCAGGTGACACCGACTCTGTGCCCCGGGCTGTGACAGGTTGTCCCCGTTTCGTTTGCACCCAGCAGCTGGGGTGCTGGAAGGGGCAGGGGAGAGGCATGCAGCCCCCCCTCTCCCCACACCCTGCCCCGGGGAGCGGGGGGGATGGATGGAGCGGTGGGTGCTGCCAGGACCCCCCAGTTTGCAAAGTCACGGCCAGGGGGGCTGGAACCGACCCCACGGGGGAGGAGGTGCCGCCGGGGACCCCGGGCGGGGAGGCGGAGGGGGGTGTCGGGTCCGCGGTTTTCCCACCCGCCCCGACGGGAGCCCCGGGCCCGATCCCCAGCCCCGTTCGGCTCCGCTCCGCCCGGGGAGGGGCAGCGCGGCCCGGCCGGATCGCGGCTGCCCCCGGCACCTCCCCGCGCCCCCCCGGCCGGGGCGCGGCTATAAGGAGCGGCGGGGCGGGGGAGGCGGCTCGGCGGCGGCGCGGAGCGGCGGGCGCGGCAGGTACGGGGAGTGGGGGGGGGGGGACGGGAGGAGGTCGTGCCACGCGAGTTTTCCCGCGGGGTCCCTCAGCCCAGCCCCGCGGGTTGAGACCTGAGAACTCATCGCACTGCCCGCGCCTCCGCGGCGGCGGGGAGCCGGGGCTGGGATTGGGAGCCGGGACTGGGACGGGGGGGCCTGGGCAGCCCCCACTCCGGGTAAACCCTAGGGAGCCCCATCCCGCTGGGGTTTTACTTTTGGAGCAGGGGGTTAAGGTGTGGGTGCCCACAGGGCCCCTTGGCCACCCGGGGGGAGCGGGCACCCAGTGGGGAGCCAGGGTTTTGGGGCGTTGTGCTTCGGGGCAGGAGTGGTTGTAAGGGGAGTTGAAAACCCTGAAGATTTTGAGCGTCCCGGGGGAGGGCAGGGTGGGGGCGAGGTGACCCAGGAGGCGGTTTGGGGGTCAGCGAGCAACGCACTGGGTGCTGCACAGGGTGGGCGACCCAGCAGGATGGGGCTGGAGTAGGGTGCCTTGTGTCTGCAGGACCCCCCCCGAGCCCCGGAGGTGCCCCCCCCCCCCCCCCCAACCCGCTCGGTGCCCCCCCTACCCGCTCAGTGCCGTTCCTCTGCAGCGGCTGCAGGTCTGGGGAGATGGCCGGCAACATGCGCCTGCTGCGGGCCCTGCTCTGCCTCTGGCCACTGGCCGAGGCCACCTTGGCTTCCCGGGCGCGCACCCGCCGGGAGCTGGCCCCCGGCTTGTACGAGCACGGGGTCTACGATGCCAGCGGGTCCTACTGCCAGCGCGGGGACGTCTGCTGCCACGGCCGCGACGACGGCTGCACCGTCCCCTACCACGACACCCTCTGCTACTGCGACCTCTTCTGCAACCGCACCGTCTCCGACTGCTGCCCCGACTTCTGGGAGTACTGCCTGGGCATCCCGGCCCCCTTCCCCAAAGCCCCAGGTGAGGCAGCCCCCCCACCCCCCCCCCCACCCCAGCCCAGTCTATGGGTGCCAGGGGCCCACCCTGGGATGTCCAATGTGCTGTGTGATCCTGCTGGTGCCCCTCGGGTGCAGCTGGATGTGGCACCCCACAACCCTGCCCTCGCTGCAGAGACGTTCCGGACCCCTGGGAGCTGCAGAAATTCATACAAAGTGGCCGAACTGGGGCTGGGCTCCCAGAAACGGGGCTGGGGACAGCCTGTGGCCCCACGGCCTCCCCACAGGCAGGGCTGCGGGGGGCAGAGGGGCAGCTCCAGCGACGTGTACCTGTGGGGCAGAGCAGGGGTGTTGGGGGGGGGGTCCATTCTGACTTCTCCGGTCATGTCTGGGGCAAGCGGATGCTGGCCCTGATTTAACCCGCCTGGCAGCTGGGGTGGGCAGGGTGGTGAGAGGGGGGCCCGGGCAGCCCCCGCCGCGCAGCACAAGGCTCTCTAAGAAGTCCCTGCAGAGCAGAGCCAGCTCCCGGGTACAACCGGCCCCTTTATCCCCGTCTCGCCAGGCTGTGCATGCGAGGCTGGCTCTGCTCCGCAGCCCCACGGTTAACCCTCCCCGTGCTGAGCCAGCCCGGCTCCCACCCAGCGCTGTGGGGCACGAGCTGGTCCCCACCGCGGGTCTGGAGATGCAGCCAGGCACCCACCTGGCTTTAAGGACCGGCTTTATCTTCCTCTTGGTGTTTACCCCCTGGAGCTGAGGGGGTGCTGGTGGGACCCCTGATGCAGCAGAGCGCTTACCGGGGTTCTCCCCTCTCCCATCCAGGCTGCGCCCGCGCCGGTCGCAGCTACCCCACGGGAGCCACGTACCGGGAGAACTGCAACCTGTGGTGAGTGACTCTGCGCATCCCGTGCCACGCGGGCACCGCCAGCTCGGCGCCGGCACGCTGCCTACCCGGAGGAAAGGCGTCGGGGGGCCTGCGAGCACCGCAACCGGCTCGGCGGGAGCACAAGCGCCCGAGCTGGGTGGTGGGAACCGGTGCCAAATGCCTTTGCTCTGGCATATTCGGAGCGGAGAGCCCGGGGCCTTTGAGCCGCTCCCAAGTTTCAGCACATGCCTTTGTGGGAGCCGGCTCGCTCCGCCGGGTTAACACACGGCCGGGCTCCCGACGCGGGCTCGGGGCTGTCGGGGTTTTTTCTGGCCGTGCTGGTCCAAAGCCCAGCTTGCCCCAGCCTGAATGGGACGCATCTACAGCTGGCAGCTGTGGTGGCTCCGTGCCAGGCGGCCTGAGCGCGGCCCCGCAGCCGGCTTGGGTGCAAGCAGCCCGTCTGTGCTGCGCACCAGGAGCTCGCTGTTTGCATTAGCGAGTCAGCGTGGGGGTTTATCTGGAAACGGCCGCGGTGGTATTAATGGCATCCCGGAGGTGGGGTGGGGGGGATAAGGGAACCTGCGGGCGCAGATCTGCCCGTAGACAAGGAGCAAACACGGCAGGGCTGGCTGCCTCGCGGTGCTGCGGTAGATAAGGGGAATCAAAGGCTCCGTCTGGGGCGTGTGCGAGGGCACGAGCACGTGTGTGTGCGTGTATGTGCAGGCATGTGCGCTGGAGCTGGAGGTGAAAAGCCAGGCTGACCTTTCCCCAAAGCCCCAGTGCCGCTCTGGGATCGTGGCGCGGAGGCACGGTGGGAGGTCGAGGTCCCCGAGCTGTGCGTTTGGATGAGTGGTCCCCGCTGCTGGGAAAGCATCCCTTCCCCAACAGCGCTGGCCCCTGGGGGCCGAGGCTCTCCTGCCAAAACCCTCTCCTGCCAAAACCCTCGTCCCCCCGCACTTGGTGCCTGGAGAGCAGCAATTTCTGCAGCGCTTCACCCCAAACCTTGTCCCCACCCGGCTCCCGCGGGGGCTGGGGGGAGTTAGTGGGGGGCAAATGCAGTGCCTGGGTGAAGCCGAGGGGGGCTGCACCCCGAGGTGCTCCCGCGGGAGTTCCCGAGGAGTGAACAGCCAGATGTGGGAGTCCTCAAGGAGTTAACAGCCAGATGCGGGGTCACCGGCGGAGCGCTGGGGGGGGATGAGATGGGGCCGGTGCCGGGGGTGCAGGTGCTGCTGGCAGGATCGGGCCCAGCTGGCGGGACACGGCTCTGGCCTCACGCGGCTCCTTAAAAGGGAAGAACGTGCCGGGAGCTCGGCCGGCGGGCAGGGGTGAGCGTGCCAAGCATTGCTCGGCTTGCAGGGGGGGAGCACAGCCCGGGGGGGGACCCCAGGGGGCACATCGCCCTCCCCAGGCACCCCCTGCCCCGGGTTACCCCATGGGTGCCACAGGGCTCCCGGCTAACCTGGCCAGAGCGGCTCGCCCCGGGGTGGGGGGGACAGCCAGCCCCAAATCCTTCTCCCCGGGCTGGTGGCCAAGCCCCGCTCTGAAGTCTGCAGGCCTGGCTGCTTTTCAGCTGATTTTCTGTCCCATGCTCTGTCTGCCCTCTGGACTCCTGCAGGGACCAGGGAGGGGGGGGGTGGGGTGGGGGGGGACAGCCCCCAGGGCCACACAGGGGGGCTGCCTGCCAGCTCCTGACCCGGCTTCACCCCATCCCGAGGTGCTGAGCCATGGTGTGACCCCCCAGACCCCAGTGCAGAAGCAGCCCTGGCCCCTCGCTGTCTGCCCACGACGGCATCAAGTCTGCGGCCTGGGGGGGGGGGTGGGGTGTTAGCACCCACCTGGGGTCCCCCCAGTCACCCCAGGGACACTGTCCCTCCCCAGCTGACTGTCCCCTCCGGTGCCATCCCCTCTGCAGCACCTGCGGCCCCGGCGGGCAGTGGGAGTGCGAGGACCATGCCTGCCTGATGGATGGGGAGCTGATCGACGCCGTCAACAGGGGCAATTATGGGTGAGGACCAGGCACCGGGAGGGTGGGGAAGGGACCCTTCAACTCTCGGTGCTTTTCGGGGCACCCCTCACCCGCGCCCCCTCCTCTCGTGCAGCTGGAGAGCCGCCAACTACAGCCAGTTTTGGGGGATGACGCTGGAGGACGGGATCCGGCACCGCCTGGGCACCTTCCGACCCTCTCCCACCGTCATGAACATGAACGAGATGCACGTGAGTCACCAGGGATGCAAGGGGAAACTGAGGCACGCCAAGGCTTGACCCTGCCTGTCCCATAACCTGGCCCCAATGCTTCACCATCCCCTCGGCGACTGCTGTCCCCGCAGTGTCCCCGTCCCCAGGAAGGGGGGCTCTGCAGCCCGGGGGGGGGGGTGGGGGGAGGCAGGGAAGGGGCCATGGTGGGTGGGTGCCGTGGACAGCCCTTGTGTTTGGAGACAGCAGCTCAGCAAATTCCCCCTGACAATCCCCCGGCTGCCAGTGTTGTTTTTTCCCCCTCTCCTCCGTGCCGGTTTCCCATCGGAAAGCCGGCCCCGCAGCTGCTGAGTCAGCAGAGATGGCCGCGCCAGCGCTTTGCAAGAGGGGGTGCCTCCACTTGCCCCCGGGGCTGCACCCAAAACCGCCCCCCCCCTCCCCCCAATTCAGGGGGGCTAGTGGCCGGAGAAGGGGGGGTCCCATGGGTGCTGGCGGGGAGCGAGCGACGCGCGGTGCACGCCCAGAGCCGTGACCTTGACTCCCGGTGAGGTTTAATTTTAGAGGCGCTTCCTGCGCTGGGATAAGCTGGGTGTCGGCGGCCGCATCCTCCCCAGGAAGGCTGAACTGTGCACGGCCGGGGCGGGGGCACCATTCCCCCCCCCTGCCCCCCCTCGAAACGGAAAGGTTGGGTGTGTGTCCGTGGCCAGGCAAGAGCCGGCCAGAGGCCACAATGAGGGTCTCGAGACACCCAGGACCCGTGCACTTGGGGTCCAAAACTGTACGCTTGGTGCTGTTGTTGCAGAAGGAGCCGTTGGGGCTGAGGAGCTCAAATTTAGGGAAAATTGAGGGATCTGGCTCCTCAGGGACAAGGGGGATCCCAAATTCTTGGCCAGGTTTACGGGCGTCCCCATCCCGAGGGGCTCTGCTGTGGGGCTGGGGGATGCTAACGCGGGCTGGGGGGCCCCAGCAGCTGCTGGGGGTGGGCTGCTGCGAGTGGGGGGCAGGAGGCGGGTGGGGGGGGGGGGGTGTCACCCCTCATGCCTCAGCTCTGCCTCCGCAGATGAACATGGACTCCAACGAGGTGCTGCCCCGCCATTTCGACGCAGCCGCGAAGTGGCCCGGGATGATCCACGAGCCGCTGGACCAGGGCAACTGCGCCGGTTCCTGGGCCTTCTCCACGGCGGGTGAGATGGGACAGGTCGGGATGGGGTGGCCCGTGGGGACGGGGACTAAACCTGCTGCCACGGGGCTGGGGAGCGGGGCAGGACCCCGGGGGAGCAGCCGCTGTTCTCTGACACCCACCCCCCCCCCGCCCCGCTCGCTCCCAGCCGTCGCCTCGGACCGCATCTCCATCCACTCCATGGGGCACATGACGCCCGCCCTGTCACCCCAAAACCTCCTGTCCTGTGACACCCGCAACCAGAGGGGCTGCAGCGGGGGGCGGCTGGACGGAGCCTGGTGGTACCTCCGCCGGCGGGGGTGAGTGGGGACGGGGTGGGGATGGAGCCGGGTGGTCCTTCCCCTCCTCACATCCTTGCCGGGGCGGGGGGGGGAAGATGAGAGGCTGCCCCAGCACTGGGGTGGGATATGGGGGGTTCCCTGGAGGGGGATCCTAGGGGTACCCAGTGCACACCCTGTCCCTTGGGCAGGCAAGGGACCTGGAGTCCCCGGATGGAGAGTGGGGTTTGGGAGCGGGGTGGGGATGGAGCCGGGGGGGGGGTCCTTCCACCTCCTCACGTCCTTGTCCCTGTGCCCAGGGTGGTGACAGACGAGTGCTACCCCTTCACCAGCCCGCAGAGCCGGCCGGCGGCCCAGCCCTGCATGATGCACAGCCGCTCCACGGGCAGGGGCAAGCGGCAGGCGACGGCACGTTGCCCCAACCCCCAGACCCACGCCAACGAGATCTACCAGTCCACCCCTGCCTACCGCCTCTCCTCCAGCGTGAGTGCCCGTGGGCCGGGGCCGGGCCGCCAGCGTGGGCGAAGCAGGAGCCGTTTGGTGTGGGGAGCGGGAAGGGGCTTGGCTCGGGGTGGTTCGCTTGAGAAAGCCAAGTTTGGAAAGGAAGCCGGGAAAAACCCGCCGCGAAACCCTCAGGGGAGCTGCTCCTTCACTCGGCATCTCCACAACACCCACCCGTGGGTGCTGAAACGGGCTCTGCCTGCATCCCCGGGGGGGTGAGGAGGGCAGCGCCAGGGGTCCCAGCCCCGGTACCACCCGGCTCTGTGCTTGCAGGAGAAGGAGATCATGAAGGAGCTGCTGGAGAACGGCCCCGTGCAAGGTAGGGAGCCGGCGTGGGCACCCCGTCCTGGCGCCCCGAAGCTGGGTGCTGCAATAGCCCGGGGAGGGGGGTGAGGTGGGTGGGGGAAGCCGCCCTGCCCGGGGCTGACGTGGGGGCCAGGACCCCCCACCTCAGCTGCTCTCCCTGGTTAATATTTAACCCGTGCTCTCACCAGCCCTGGGGGGTGCCCATCACGCTGCCCACACCAGCGGGCACTTGTTGCTCATTAACTCCTCAGATTTAATCTCAGGCAGTTGGGTTTGGGTTTTTTTTTTTTGTTTTTTTTTGTTTTTTTTTTTTTAAATCCTCCTCTGAGTTTTGCCACATGGCCCAGGGGAGGATCTGGCTGCTGCATTCCCCCTTCCCGAGTGATGCCCCGTGTCCCCGCTGCCCGTATCCTCCACCCTGGGGGGCCGTGGAGCCCAGTGCCTCGTCCCTCGGGACAGGGCCAGCGTCCCCAGACCCTCTCCCCCTGCCTGCAGCCATCCTGGAGGTGCACGAAGATTTCTTCATGTACAAGAGCGGGATCTATCAGCACACGCCGGTGGCCGAGGGGAAGGGGCCAAAGCACCAGAGACACGGGACCCACTCGGTCAAAATCACTGGGTAGGTGGGGGGGGTGGCGTGGGGGGGTTGGGGGGTGCAGAGAGCCGTGCTCCGGGTGGGAGAAGCGTCCTCTCTGGGGGAGGAAATGTGTCCCCTTCCTCCAGGGAGGGTGCAGGGTTTGATGGGGGGAGCCCTGCCAGGAGCAATGCTTACCCCCGGGGCTGTGGCCACAAGTGACACGAGTGCGCGGTGCTCAGCCCCCCACGGAGGGAGGGGAGTTGGAGGCGCAGAGCGTGAGGAGGGGAGCGGGGCCGGTTGCTTCCTTCCTTCTCCCCACTGCTAAATATACCTGCCTGTATTTCAGGAGCGGACGTAAATACCTCAGGGATGGACTGGGGCCAGGAAATGGGGGGGGGGGGCAACCAAGCACCACGCTATCACAGTGCTGGGTGGGGTGATGCCCACAATACGGGGAGGGGGGTGCCCCGGGCCCCCCCTTACTCACTGCCCTGCCCTTCCAACGCAGGTGGGGAGAAGAGCAACTGCCTGACGGCCAGATCCAAAAATACTGGGTGAGTGTTGGCGGGTGTCACGAGTTCGCTGGGGCTCAGGCATTGGGGGTGGAGGGGTTGCAAGTGCTGCTTGCGTAGGTTGGGGGGGGGGGGGGGTGTCAGGAATGAGCAGGGGCCCCCCCGCCCTCAGCGCTGAGCAGTGTCCCCTGTCCCCCTCCCCAGACGGCAGCCAACTCTTGGGGCACGGCGTGGGGCGAGGGCGGCCGATTCCGCATCGCCCGCGGCGTCAACGAGTGCGAGGTGGAGACCTTCGTGGTGGGCGTCTGGGGCCGCGTCAGCATGGAGGACATGCCCCACAAGTGAACCCCCCCCACACCCCACACCCCCCCCCCCCAAAACCGCCCAGAGGGGCCCCCCAGCCCCGCGGAAGTCCTTGTCCCCACCGTGCCCAGCACCGCAGCCCCTCCATCCCCTCCTAGGGGGACCCCCCCCCCGCCCCATCATCTGGGGCAGGGGGATGGGGCTGTCCCCTGGGTTCCCGCCCCCGGGGGTGCCCCCCCCCCCCCGTGCTGACGTGGCGGCTGGGTGCAGTGGCGCGTGTGGCCGGGGGCGCCCCCGGGGGCCGGTCCCGAGTCCCGTGGGATTTACCCACTAATCCCCCCCGGCTGGGTTTCGGTGGCAGCCGGGGGCTCTTCAAAGGCAGCCGCCCCCCCCCCCCCCCCCTTCCCCGCACCGCACCCCCCGGCACTGGCAGCTTCACCCCCCTCCTCCCTCCCACTGCAGCGGGACCCCCTTCCCCCCGGGGCTCCTGCACCCCCAGCTCTGCGCCAGCCCCCTTCCCTCCCTCCCTGGGGTGGGGGGGGAATAACCCAGCGGTGCCTGGAGTGGGGGTTCACCCCTGCCTTGGGCTGGTGGAACCCCAAAACTGGGGATCAGGAGGGGGGGTCCCCACCGTCCCCCCCCCCCCCCCCGCCCGTCCCTATGGTGCTATGGCCCCTGCCACCCCCCGTGGGGACTGTAGGGACAGGGGAAGGCTCAGCCCTGCGGTGACCCCGTCCCGGTGGGGCCACAATTGGGGACCACACAGCAGCACAGCCCCGCTCCCCGTGTCCTTCCCCCCCCGCATTCCTTCCCCCCCCCCCCCCCCCCCCGGGGCTGTACTTTTAAGAATTTTTGTATTTATTTTGCTTTTTATTATTTGTAAATAAATTTATGGAAGCCTCGGTGCCAATAGGGCCGGCTCCTTCCCCAGCCCTGCTCGGGAGGGGGGGTGGGGGGTGGCCCCGCTGTCCCCCCGCCCTGTCCCATCGAGGGGGGGGGGGGGGGGGCAGGACCCTGCCGTGGCTACGGGAAGGGCTGGGGGGGTGAGATAAGGGCCAGCTCATTGTGCACCTTCCGGCCCCGCCAGCTCCCCGTGGCCAGCGGCCAGTGCTGGGCCCGCCACGGCCACCCCACGGCCACCCCACAGCCACTGCTGCCACCACGGCCACCCCACAGCCACTGGTGCCACCCCACGGCCACCCCACGGCCACTGCTGCCACCACAGCCACCCCACAGCCATTGGTGCCACCACGGCCACCCCACAGCCACTGGTGCCACCACAGCCACCCCACGGCCACCCCACAGCCACTGGTGCCACCACGGCCACCCCACGGCCACCCCACAGCTACTGCTGCTACCACAGCCACCCCACAGCCACTGCTGCCACCACGGCCACCCCATGGCCACCCCATGGCCACCCCACAGCCACTGGTGCCACCCCACGGCCACTCCACAGCCACTGGTGCCACCACGGCTACCCCACAGCCACGAGTGCCACCCCACAGTCACCCCCACAGCCACTGGTGCCACCACGGCCACCCCAGGGCTAGGGGTGCTACCCCACAGCCACCACGGCCACGAGGGCCCCAACAGCCAGGAGTGCCACTACGGCCACCCCACAGCCCACAGTGCCACCCCACAGCCACCAGTGCCACCCCAGCCACATCAGCGGGCCCACGGGAGGGGTGGGGAAGCTGAGCAGGCGCGTGGGGTGGGGCTGGGGGTGTCGCTTTTTAACAATTAATGTATTCTTCTTGTTTCCTCCCCCCCCACACCCCCCCGTGGGGACACCCTCCCCACACCCCCACCCCCACGCAGTGTGGAGTGGGGCGCCACCTGGCGGAGCCGCCCTGCCCCTGCGCGCGCCGTGGCACGCCGGGCCCGCGCAGCCCCACGCGGGGCGCGTGACCGCGGTGTGGGGAGGGGGGGGGTGTCACTGCCGCGCCCGCCCCCCCCCCCACGCGTGGGCACAGCGCTAGCAGCCGGCGGCGTCTGCAGCCACGGGGTCACACTCACCCCCCCACCCCACGCGGACACCACGGGTGGGTCCAGCGTGTGTGTGGGTGTGTCTATATGTACACGCACAGACACACTAACAGGCGTTGCTGGGTTTCATATACACACGCAGCTGGACACGCGGCTCCTTGTATACAGACACACACTGATAGAGACTGCTGTGGTTTTATAGAGAGATACACAGATGTATCAAATATAGATATATAAATATTTTAAAATATAGAAAAAGCTAAAAAGCAATCTATATTTTAATATATATAAATATATAATTATATGGGTGTATATATTATAATATGTATGTATGTGTGTGTATATATACACACATTTATATATATAAAAAATACACACACACACACACACACACACACACAGAGATATAGAGGAGTGTCCTTTACTCTGTGTCTATATATTATAAACAGTGTGTGTGTGTCTGTGTGTCTATGTCTGTGTGTCTGGGTGTCTGTGTGTCTCTGTGTGTGTCTGTGTGTGTGTCTGTGTCTCTGTGTGTGTGTGTGTGTCTGTGTGTGTGTCTGTGTCTCTGTGTGTGTGTGTGTGTCTGTGAGTGTGTCTGTGTGTCTGTGTGTGTGTGTGTTTGTGTCTGTGTCTCTGTGTGTGTCTGTGTGTGTGTGTGTGTGTGTGTGTGTCTGTGTGTCTGTGTGTGTGTGTGTTTGTGTCTGTGTCTCTGTATGTGTCTGTGTGTGTCTGTGTGTGTGTCTGTGTGTGTGTGTGTCTGTGTGTGTCTGTGAGTGTGTGTGTGTCTCTGTGTGTGTGTGTGTTTGTGTCTGTGTGTCTCTGTGTGTGTCTGTCTGTGTGTGTCTCTGTGTGTCTCCCTCTCTCTCTCTGTGTCTGCCAGTGTTTTTATGTGATTGTGTGTGTCTGTATATATATATATAAAAATAAATAACCATCAGTGTCCACTGTGTATGTATGTGCATATATATATATATATGTCTATATATGCACACACACACATATATATATAAAAACAGTGGGGTGTGTGACAATGTGTCTATGTGTATAAAGATCAGTGTCAGCATGTGGGAGATCTCTGTTTAAAAAAAACAATGGTGGCTGTTAGTGCGTGTGTGTGTGTATGTGTGTGTGTAAAACCCAGCTGTGTCAGTTTGGGGGTGTATATACAGCTGAGCAGCAGTGTGTGTTAGGCTCTGTGCAGGTACAAACACAGAGAAAAAAAAACAAAAACAGCAGTGTTCGTGTGTGTGTCTCTGTGTGTGCATAAACCCAGCAGCGTGTGGCTGTGTGTGCAAACAGCCGTGTCTGTGTGTACCTACACGCGGAGTGGGGTGCACGGAACTCTACAGGCACACACCGGGGGGGCGTCCGCGTGTGTGTGCACCTGCACAGCCCGCCGTGCCTGTCAGTGCCCGCGGGGATACCTGTACGTACCCAACAGGCGCTGCTGGGGTACATATGTATGTGTAGGAACTGCGGTGTCTGGGGGTGTGTGTGTGTGTATAAAACCGGCGGTGTCTGCGTGTACAGACACACACAGGGCAGCTGGTAGGAGCGTGTGCCTGTGCACACACCCAGAGGGGTCCCTGCTACCGCTGAGTGTATATACTCGGGGTGTCTCTGGGTGTGTGTCCATGAGTGTTTCCATATACACAGGGCTGGGTGTGTGCACATATATATATATATATATATGTGTGTGTGTATACATATACACCCCCCCGTGTATATTTGTATTTATATTTTTATATTTATATATGTATTTATATTTTTATATTTATATATGTATATATATATTTACATATACACACACAGAGGTGTCAGGAAGTATGTGTGTATAAATGTATAGACCCAGAATTACCTGTTAGTCTGTATATATATATATATATATATATACACTGAAACAGACACTCCTCTCTGTCTATACGCACACACAGACTTTCCAGGGTATTTTATATCCACACACCCCCCCCCCAACCCCTGACACACCCCCAGCTGGGGGTCACCCCCCCCCCCCAAGTTATCCCTGCTGCTGCCTGGAGGGGTGACAGCCCACACCGGCAGCGACAGCCACCCCGGGAGGTGACAGTGCGGGGGGGGGGGCGGCCCCCACAGCCTCTCGCTTGAAACCTCTGGGAAAGGCTGGGCAGCTCTGACTCAACAGAGGACGATGAGAAATATTGTTGGAATGATTAATGATGCTCTAGAACAAAAAGTCCTGCCTTTGGCTGCAGCTGAGGAAAACACCGACATCTGGTTATTGCTTCTAAAAGCATCAGATCAGTCACTCCGTCTTTTAACTATTCTTTCCTCAAACTCCCTCAGAGTAGCAAAGCGTCTCTCAAAAAGCACCACTGAGATTTCTCATCAAGGGCAATTAAAGGGTAATCACCTGGGTATCATTTTAAAACCCCACAGAAGAAAATCTTTGTGTTGGTCAAATGTTTACTTGTATCTCAGCAGGAGAGCCCAGCACCTGATTTTCTGTAAGCTGACAAGAAAGGTGTAAGAATTAACTTCAGGGAAGCGTACTGAGCCTCAGGAGCAGCGCCCAGAGCAGGGGTACAGACACAGCACGTGTCCCCTCCCTGCACCCAGAGCTGCTGCTGGTCCAGGGGGGTGACACAGGGGAGGGCAGCGTCCCTGCAAGCCCCTCAGCAAACACAAACCACCCAGCGACCAGTGCACAGCGCCTTTTATTCAAAAGCTGTAAAAATAAGCTCTAAACCGTTTAGGAGTTTGGCTTTGGCAGACAGAGATGAATCAAAACAGACATTGGCAATGGGGGGGGGTTGGGGGGGGGGGGGAGTGGTTGTCAATGATCCTGCGTGGGACTGCGGCAACGTGGTCTGTTCCAGCAGCCTGGAGAGAAAGGGGGTTCAGATCTCCGGGAAAGCTGGAGCCTTCCCAGCACAGCAGAGGGGCTGGACGTGCTCCCGGCAGCGACGCAAGGATGAGCTCAGCCAGGGCTTGTGCCCTTCCTGCTGCTTTTCAAATGAAGGCTCAGCTCTCGGGCACCGGAGAGCCCCCAAAAGCGTGCTGAGACAGGGACGAGGCACTGCAGACATCCCGCCACGCGGAGGGACAGTGCAGGTGGGGGTTTAAGCATGTTTTGGCATCTGGCAAGGGATGATCTAAGCGCTCCCCGGGAGGCATGGCACAGGCTACTGGTTTGGCTGTCCCACTCCGCGGCACGGCCCCAGAACCAGGCTCCAGTTTGGCGTGGAGGCACCCACTGCCACCGAGTGGGGACAAGGAATTGAAACCCCGGCAGGACTCGGGGCTCCTCGGGAGCAGCGGGCTGGAAAGCCAGCCCAGGGGAGCAGCTCGTTCTTCAGGGGGGTTGGCCACATCCCAGAAGAGGCCGAGGATGGTCGGGGCTCCTGGAGAGCCCCGCAGAGCTCCCGGCTGGCTCGCAGCCCTCGGCCCAGGGCGTCACATCATGCGAGTCACGACCATGGTGAGGAAGTCCTCGTAGCTCAGCCGCACGTTGCCCACCAGCCCCGTGTCCTTCTCGCGGAAGGCGTCGGTCGTGCTCTGGAGCTGCATGCAGATCTGAATGAAGCGGTCGAGCTGGATGCTGGGGTCAGAGGATCGCTGGGCGTAGCGGGCCAGCAGCAGTTGGCTAAACTGGGGGCTCAGGTTATAGCCCATCTGGGAGAAAGCTGGGAGCAAGAAACACGTGGATTAAGCCTTCCTGATGGGAGGGAGAGCAACCATGCCCTCCCTCCTGTGTGCTGGCACACACCCCATCTCCCACCGCTCCGTGGTGTTTGCTTCTGACAGTGGGTGTGCTTGGGCGAGGTTCTCGGGGGGGAGGAACCAAACCATGGCAAGAATTCCAGACATTTTTCCCCTCCGTCAGACACATACATGCCCAAGAGCTCCTCCCAGAAAACAGGCTTTAGCTACATGCCATTTGGGGGGGGGGGGGGGGGGGGGCATTTAGGGTTTCTTTAAGGAAGGAAGTTGCCACAGCCCTGCTGCAGCTCCTTGTCTCCTGCCCCACGCGGAGGCTCAGTGCCAGCTCTGCCACAGCCAGTTTAGCCAGCCCAGCGTGTCCCAGTGAAGCAACAGGCGTGCACTGCAGCCACGGCTGTACAGGAGGCACCCCATGAGCTCAGAGACACCCAGCCCTGCTTCAGGGATGGCATCAGGAGGAGTCACACTGGGAAGAGCCAGACAGCGATCCCCAGGGACCTCGGTCGGGGCCAGGTTGGTGTCTCTGCCCTTCGCCCACCTTGCTGGAGCTCGCTGAAGCTGATGGAGCCTGACTGGTCCCTGTCGTACTGCTGGAAGAGGTTCTTCCACTGCTGGATGAAGCGCAGCAAGGCTGAAAAGCCGTACACGTCTATGCGTCCTGACCTGGTCTTATCGAACATGTCTGGGGAAGAAAGAACAAAGAGCAGGAGCAGGGAAGTGAGGAGTGGGGCAAGGACACACTGCAGAAACTCCCAAAGGGCTCAGGATCTGTGCCATGGCTTCCCGCTCCAGCCCCAAAAGCCCTCCCTCACCAGGACTGTGATCAACCAGGACCATTCAACCCCTAAGAGGCTGGTAGGAAATGGCACCAAAACCTGCTGCCGTGCCGAGCTGGGGAACAGGACTCTGGCTCGCTAGCAGAGCTCCCCCTCCTGTTTCTCCCCACCTCTCTGGGAGCAGGGGCTCGCTTGGCCTCATACGGAGCTGGGTTCCCTTTTCCAAGCAGCGTTTTGGGGCCCTGACTCATGTCCTCCACCAAAAGGGCACCCCGAGCTGCCCGCTTTGCCCAGCTCTCGCTCCAGGGAGCACAGACAGGCCAGCAGCTCAGGTGAGAGATGCCCAGGTAACAGGGGGATTCAGCCTGGGCTGGGCTTCACCCCAACCGAGGCTCATCTCAAAGAGAACAGAATAAAAAGCAGCAGGAGAGCAAAGGCCCAGACTCACTTATCATCAGCAGGCAGGTCTCATCGTTGAACGTCGACCAGTTGGAGTTGACCAGCGCCTGCTTCAGCTCCTTGACGGAGATGTACCCACTGCGATCGGCATCGACCGCCTGGAACCAGGAGAAAGCCTCCGGGTCCACACCCGGGGGGGCATTACCTGCGCGGGGAGAGGCCATCAGCAGCTCTCACCTCCCCTCGGAGAGGCTGCTGGCTGGGGATGGCTCACGGAGACGCAGCCAACACGCAGGGGCCGGCCAGCGCTTGTGCTCCGGGGAGAGTTTGACAGCCGTGTGATCCCGGGCACGTCGGTTAGCTCGGCTCAGAGGAAGAGGAAGGGCTGGAACTCAGCCTGGCAGCGCTGGGAGACAGGCTGGAAAGTTTTATGGCTGTCAGGGCTGCAGCCTCTTCGGCGCTTCCTTCCTCCTCCTCCTCCTCCTCCTCCTCTTCACGGTTTTAAAATAATAAGCTGGGACTTGGCGGTTTCATTCAGGCGGCGAATTCCGCTGAGCTGGGGGCAGACAATCCCCCCCCCCTCCCCCGGCACGGAGCGGGAGCGGGCCCGGGCCGGGCCGGGGGGCACCCACCCCCCCCCCCCGGGGGCACCCACCCCCTCAGCCTTGCCCCTTCGCCCCCGGGGACCATTCGCCCACCCGCCGCAGGGATCCCCCCAGACCCGCGGCCCCGCTCACCTCCCGCAGCCGCCCCTCCGTAGGGCTGGGGGCCGCTGCCAGGCTGTCCGTAGGGACCCCCGGGGTAGGGACCGGCCGGGGCCGCGCCGGGGGCTTGTCCTGCGCCGGGGAAGCCCTGCGGAAGCGGCAGAGCCCGGTGTGCGGCCGGCCCCGAGCCCTCCGCCGCCCCTCGCCCCGGTCTCCCCGTCCCCCCCCCCCGGTCCCGGTCCCGGTCCCGGTCCCGGTCCCGGTCCCGGTCCCGGTCCCGGTCCCGGTCCCGGTCCCGGTCCCGGTCCCGGTCCCGGTCCCGGTCCCGGTCCCGGTCCCGGTCCCGGCCCCACCTGCCCCGGATACGCCGCCATGACACTGCTACCGCCCCGCCCACCCCCGGGCCCACGCCCACGGGCCGCACGTAAGGCGTGCGCGCCCATTGGCTGCGGCGAGGAGGGCACGCCCCCTCCGGAGTCAGACGGGAGGGGGGCGGGGACTAAGCGGGACGGGAGAGCCCCGGGGAGTGGGGGGGCCTTAAGGCGGCAATGACGGCTGCGCGGGGTGTGGTGGGGCCCACCCAGAGCCGCGGGCTCTCCCCGGGATCAGGGTCGGGATTTCCTCGGGAGCAAGGCCCGGGATCAGCCCAGGAGCAGGGGTGGGATCGCCCTGGAGCAGGGCCAGGATGAACCTGGGAGCGGGGCTGGGGTCCCCCCCAAGATCAGGGCTGGGAGATCCCCCGGGGAGCGGGACTGGGATTCCCCCTGATGCGGGGCCAGCAGCACCCCGGGATCAGGGCTGGGATCACCCGGGATCAAGTCTGGGATCACCCCAGGATCCCTCCCCCCATCAGACCCAGGTCTGCGGGGCAGGAGGGGGCTCATGGGCATCGTGCCCCCCAGCCAGGGTGTTCCGAGCCCAGTCTGGCTCCAGGACTGAGCAGAGCAGTGTCTCCCGGGGACAGGGATGGGGACAGGGATCGGGCCCGATGGAGGAGGCGGGAGGCGCGGGGGGGCACCAGCACGGGTGTATTTGACCGAGCAGGATCCACCTGCCCCCCACGATCGCGAACGGAGCTGTACAACACCCGCACCCCTTCCCCACCCGCATCCCCCCCACCGCGGGACAGGCACAGCCCCCGGCACAGCGGGGAAATAATATTAACAGCAAAGGTCGGGGGGAGTACGGGGGGGGGGGGGGGGGGGGGCTCAGCCGAAGGGCCCCTTGACATTTTTGGGCTGGAAGAGGGGCTGCTCCAGGGGCATGGCTCCCAGGCACTCTGCTGGGCTGCAGTGCCCCGTCTTGCCCGGCTGCCCTGTAGCCCCGGGGGGGCCGGGGATGCCGGGGATGCCCTGCTGTCCCACGGGACCTGGGGGGCCCATCTTCCCGTAGCCCGGTGGCCCTTGGGGACCTGGAAGAGATGGAGAGAAAACGGGAGGTGACAAGGTACCGGGGCTGGCAGCAAGCCCCAGCATGGAGCAGAGTAGGGGGGAGCTCACCTGGGGGTCCTGGGGGGCCGCTGTCCCCCATCACCCCCACGCCTTTCTCGCCTTTCTCTCCTTTGGCGCCCGGCTCACCTGGAAGGGAGGTGGACGGAGAGAGGGTGAGACTTTGGCACAACCGCGGTGCTTGGGGACACCGGGACCCCCCCTCCTGAGGAGCAGCACCTACCCCGCATGCCCGGCACGCCCTGCCGCCCCTCTCTGCCGATCTGCCCCGGCATCCCTGGAGAACCAGGGGGTCCCGGCCGGCCGGGCAGCCCGTCCTTCCCCGGGGGACCTGGTCTCCCTGGGGATGCCACCATCTCCACCGGGAAGTGCAGCCGGGAGGTGTAATACGCCATCCGCTCTGCGGGGAGAAGCGGCCGCGCTCAGCGCTGGCGGGGACCAGGCGATGTTGGGGTGCAATCCCGGCCCTCGCCCCAGCCACCACCCCGTTACCGTCAAACATCTTGCTCAGCTCCTGCTGGATGTACCTCTTGATCTCGTCGTAATTCACCACGTCTCCCTGGGGGGACACACGAGGGGGCGTTAACACCAGGTCCCCAGTTCCCGGAGTTGCCGGGCCCCCCCCCCCGGTCCTGTGCCCCACCTGTCCCTCCTTACCATCATCCCGGGGGGGCCCGGCAGCCCAGGGCTGCCCACAGGGCCCGGCGAGCCAGGGGGGCCCCTCTCCCCCACGGGCCCCCGTGGCCCCACGAGGCCCATGGAGCCACTTTTCCCTGGCCCCCCGGGCGTGCCGGCTCTGCCCTTCTCCCCGGGGTAACCCCTCTCGCCGGGGGATCCAGCTTCACCCTACGGAGATGTGGAAGGGCAGAGCTCAGCCTCAGCACCCCCCAGTCCCAAAGTGGGGCTGGAGGGTGCTGGGATGGTCACAGCGGCACGGCTGGGCTCTCCCCCCTCACCTTCTGGCCAGCCGGTCCTGTGATGCCGGGTTTTCCTGGGGGGCCCTGGGGAGACACAGAGGAGTGGGGTGGCAGGGGTGTCCCTCACATGGGCACGCTGGGGACACCCTGGCCAGGCCAGAGGGTGCCACTGGGCAGGAGAGCCCTCGTACCTCTTTCCCAACGGGTCCGTCCGGTCCCTGCTCCCCCTGTGAAGACAAAGCGGGGCAGCGTGAGATGGTGGTGCCGCCCTCGAGGTCCCCACTGTGCCACCCCTCGTGCCCCGCTGCACTCACCGGTGGTCCCGGGTGGCCCGGGGGTCCTGGCTGACCTGGGAGCCCTGGCAGCCCTCGCTCCCCCGCGGAGCCCCGCTCGCCTTTCAGCCCCTGCGGGGAGGCAGGAGGAGGGAGCCGGGAGCATCGGAGTCAGCACGGGATGGGGATGGTGACCCCCAAACCTGCTCTCCGTGGCACCCACCCTGGCCCCCCACATCCCCCCAGCTGGGGCTGTGACCGGGGCAGGGTCCAGCCCCAGCCAGTACTCACCACTCCAGCGAGGCCAGCGGGACCCGGCTGCCCTGGGCTGCCGGGGGGGCCCTGGGGGCAGAGAGAGGGGTGTCAATTGGGGGGGGGAGACAAACACCACAGGCGATGCCTCCACTCCCTGCACCGGAGGGAGGACTCGCCACGCTCCCCACCACGGGCAGCGTCCCGGCGTGCCGTGGGGGGACAGGTCCAACTTACGATGAGCCCCGGGGGTCCCTGCCGGCCTTGGGGTCCCATGGGTCCGGGGTCACCCTGAGGAAGGCAGCACGATGAGGGGTGGTGCGGGGCTCACCCAGCTCGGGGGTCCCATGTCCACCCACCCCCTCACTCACCTCCGCTCCCGGCCGGCCCGTGCTCCCCGGGGGGCCGGGTTTGCCACAGTCACCCTAAAAGAAGGAAGGGACGTGATGGGCAGCGCAGCATGTGGAGACCCTGACCTAGGGCTGAGGTCCCCGGGGCTGTCACCACCGAGTAGCCCCCAGTGCCACCATCGCTCACCTTCGGTCCCGGGAGACCCGGGTGTCCTGTCTTCCCCTTGAAGCCCTGGAGGGAGAAAAGAGCTGGGTGGGGGGGTCCCAGCTCCCACGAGCAGACTGAGGCAGACGACCCCAGCCCCGGTCTCTGCCGGGGACCCCATCCTGCAGTGCTGGGGTTTTGGGGGGGCGGGGGGGGGGGATGCCCACCCACCCCCTCGGGCTCAGAGTCCCCAGGAGCGAATGGTGGGACAGTCCCGGCTCAGGGGACACCCGGTCCTGGCTGTGGGGACTGAGCATTGGGGAGGGGTGACAAGGAAAACTGTCACTCACCGGAGGACCCATCATCCCTGGTGGTCCAGGGGGGCCGGGGTCACCCTGGAGAGAGAGACACACAGGTTGGGGGTGTCCTGGGGGGGCTACAGGGTGGTTGCCCCCTCTGCCAGCACCCAGGAGAGCCCCGGAGCCTCACCCGCAGCCCTGGCTTGCCATCTTTGCCATCCAGTCCTTCCAAGCCAGCGGGGCCCTGCGGGGACAAGGTGAGGGTGTCAGAGGGTGGTTGGCACCGAGGGGCTTTGGGGGTCCCCGAGGGACCTGCTCCGGCCACCCCAGGACATGGGAACAAGTCCCTGGGGAATGGGTCCACCCAGGAGCGCTCCCCGGGAGCACTATGACACCAGTGGGCCTGTCCCCCTCAGCCACCAAGGGGTGGCATGGCGGGGGTCTTACCTGGATGCCCGGGGGTCCGGGAGGTCCGGGGGGTCCTGGCATCCCCGTGGGCCCACGCATGCCCTCGCTGCCCTGCAAGAGCCCCAGGAGCAGCCAGGGTCAGGCAGCCCTTGGTCACCCCCCCCACCAGCCCGAGGGATGAGGGGTGCCACCAGGCAGCCGCATCCCGATGGCACCCACCCACGGCACTCACCTTCTCGGCCGCGGGGCCCGGTGGCCCGGCTGGCCCGACCTTCCCTGGGAAGCCGGGGGGCCCCTAAAGAGAAGAGGGGTGTTGAGTGGGGGGGGGTGGGTATCACAGCAGGAGAGCCCAGTCCCACACAGCCCACCATCTCCAGACTCATTTTAACGGGTTTGCTCCGGGGCTGCTCTCCACACCTTATCCCACGGGATGTGTCTGTGTCTCCCCCGGTAGAAACCCCAATCCCCGGCTGGCTACGCAGCCCCACGGGGACATGGGGACACACAGCCAGGGCTGGGCATCATCTCCTGGGGACACCCCCTGTGCTGGAGCATTGCTCCCCGCAGCCCCGGCGGGATGTACTCACCGGTGGCCCCGGGAAGCCCGGCTGGCCCTGGAAACCCTGCGGAGAGACAGAAGATGAGCTGGACCCCGACAGCCGCATCCTGCCCCGTGGGGATCTCGGGGGTCCCCGTGGGGGTCTCAGGGATGCTCACCTGGTCCCCCTTCTCACCAGCGCTGCCCGGGAGCCCGCGTTCGCCCCTCGGTCCCTGCGGAAAGAGGGGGCGAGGTGGGTGGGGAGCACCTCGCTGCACCCACGGCCACTGCAGCTGCCCCCCCTGCCCTCCCCACAGCCCCCCAGGAGCTGATCAGAGTGGGCACCTACCGCTGGCCCTGTGGGACCGGGGAGGCCGTCCAAGCCGGGGGGTCCCTGGGGAGGAACTCAGATAGATGGGGCTGGAAGGACCTCAGCCCCGGTGCCCACGGCGAGGGGGGCACCTGGGAGAGCCCCCAGCCCTTCTGCCCCCGGAGCACAGCCCTGAGGGACTCACCAGTTCACCTTTCTCCCCAGGGGGACCCACGTAGCCTCGCTCACCTTTGATGCCCTGGGGAAGGAAGGAGATGAAGGCACAGGACAGGGGACAAGCTGGGCCATGGGGCACGGATGGGAAGGGGGGGGACGGAGGGGGCATGGAGGGGGAAAGATGGGGCACAGGCATGGCATGCACAGGGCACGGATGGATGGGACGTGGACAGGGAAAGATGGGGCATGGATGGAGTGAAGAGCCGGGCAATGTTTGGGGCACTGGGAATGTGTGGGACGGGGGATGGATGGGACAGGGATGAGCCCTGCAGGGACACGGCACTCGGTGCCCACTGGGGTCCCCCAACCGCCTGCTCCAGCAGCACGGCGGGACCCCAAGGAGCAACAGGGAGGGACAAGAAGTGGCTGGGGCCTGGCATGTGCTGCCCGGCTCCCCACAGTACTCACGGGAAGGCCGGGGGGACCTGTTGCGCCGGGGTAGCCGGGCTGCCCTGGAGGTCCCTGCGCAGGAGAAGGAGGAGGATGAGCCCCCTGCAATGCCCCAGCCAGGCGCCCAAAGCCCACGGGGCACCAGTGTGTCCCCCATCCCCTCCTCCTCCCACACCACTCACCGGCTCCCCTTTGGCTCCGGCGAGCCCGGCAGGGCCACGTTCCCCCTGGAGACCCTTCGGAGGGAGAAGAGAGGAGCTGCAGGGGATCTCCAGCGACCCCTGCTCGGGGCTGTGCCCATCTGGCAGCACAGCCGGGCTGAGTGTGGGGGCTGAGCACCCAGGCACAGCCCGTGGGGTCTGTGATCCCCAGCCTGCCCGGTACCTCCGGACACCGGGGGGGACCCGCTCAGCGCCCGGCTGGGCTCCCTTCACCCACGGCACCAGGCTCACACCCAGACACGGATCGCTGCTGCCTGTGCCCCCCACGCTGTGGCCCGTGGGCAGGACCCCCAGGCAGCCCCGGTGCCATGGAAAGCTCAGCCCTGGGGGTGCCAAGCTCCCGGCACCCTGGCCACTGCCCAGGACATGTTTCAGATCACAGTTCCAGCCTGGTGTCACCCACTGCCTGCCCGTCCTCCCAGGGCACACCAGGCATGAGTGACACGAGTGACAGCCGGGAGTCCCCAGGCTCCACGTCCCGGGACCACTGGGGCGGGTTAGTGGGGTGACATGGTGGCGGTGGAGGCTGGACAGGACACGCTGGCACACCGCAGAGCAACAACCCACACAGACCCACAGAGATACACACAGACCCACAGAGACCCACACAGACCACGGTGTTACAATGACATTAGTGGACAAGGGGACAGGAGCAGGACGTGGCCGGTGTGGGCGAAGGAGGGCAGGATCCTCCGAGAGCCGCCCGCACAGCCCCGCTGCCACCTCGTGCTGGGAGGGAGCACGAGCAGGAGGATGAAGATGAAGATGAGGATGAAGATGGAGATGAAGCTCAAGATGGAGATGGTGGTGGAGGCTGGCTGACCCCAGAGGAGCTGGGGCCCGGGGGAAGAGGAGGATGAGCCCAGGCAGCACTGACTGCACGGGGGGGGATCCTCCCAGCCCCCACGAGGGGAGTCCCCAGGGGCAGCCGGGGAAGGGGCAGTGACCCGGTGCCATCCGGTGCCCCCAGCCCGCCCCACGGGAGCTGAGATGAGCCGCGGGCACCGAGCCACGGTAGCAGGTCCCCGGCACACCGAGAGTGGCTGAGGCGAGCCAGCCCGGGGGCTGCAGCCACCCCCGGGTCCCACGGCGGCGAAGGGCCCCAACATGGGGCACCGGTGACAGCAGCACCGGGGCCGGCAAGTGCCAGCACCAGGTTCCTGAGCTCAGGAAGATCATTCCCGAGCCTGCAGACCCTGGGTCCGCCAAGTCCCCCTGCGTGGGGATGGAGGAGGTGGAAATGGGAGGATGGAGATGAGGTGGAAGGGGAGGGGGGGCAGCTGGGCTGCGGCTGCTCCCCGGGGAGGGGACAGGGACGAGGGACACAGCCAGACCAAGCGGCAGCAACACAGGGCACAGAGCAGAGCCGTGCTGGGTCCTTACGGGCAATCCGGGTGCGCCAGGCGTTCCAGGAAAGCCCGGGGGACCCTGAGGGGAGAAACAGGGAGGTCACAGCCTGGAAATGGCACCCGGGAGCCTGGGCTGAGCCCTTGGGGGGTGCAGAGCAGCTGGGCACGGGCCAGCTCGGCCTCGACCTCCCACCAAGCCAGGCTCCTGCTCCGTCTCCGGGTCGGCAGCGCTTTCGCCTCCATCTCCAGACTCGCCGGCGGGACATCCGCGCTGTGCCGTGCCACACCTCCACCTCACCATGGCCCCGGCCCTCTGCCCCTCACCGTGGCCTCGGGGCAGGGTGCCAGGCTCCCTTGAGAACTTGCAGAACCCCCAGGCCCACGACATGATGCCCACACAGCCCAGCGGCCCCCCACCCCACCCCGGGCAGGGGTACTTACGACGGGCCCGGGTGGTCCCGGGGGTCCCCGCAGTCCCGGTGAGCCCTGGGGAGAGATGGCTGTGTCAGCTCTGACCACAGCAGGGGGACTGGGGTCTGGCCCTGCTCCGGCTCCAAGGGACCAGCCACAGCCCCCACCGCCACTGGGAAGGACTGGGATGGCAGCGGGGTTGTGGGGTGGGCTGTGGAGGAGTGGGGAGCACACCCACCTGCTCGCCTCTTTCGCCAGGGATGCCCGGGGCACCTGGCAGCCCGGGATCACCCACACAGTCTGGGTCAGGGCTGTCACCCTGCGGGGGACAGGGACACGTCAGGTCCTGGGACCAGCTCTGCCACCCGCTGCCCACAGCCGAGCCTTGCCAAGCCCCACTAAGTGCCCCCCCAAAGCAACTTCTGCTCCCCAAAGCCCCAGCTGCTCCTGCAACGGGGGGTACAGGGCCGGGTCCTCCCCCAGTGGGGACCATCCCTGCAGCACCCTGGGGACCAGGGAGCCAGACCGGGGGGCAAGGAGAGGGTGCTGGGCGGCACGGTTCACTCACCCGAGCCTCCTCCGCTCTCGGGAACTGGTCAAAGCACTGGAAGAAAACCCAGGAATCCCTTGCAGGGATGCACTGGAGGAGCCGCGGGGCACAGCAGGGTGCAGAGCCCTGCACCCCGCACCCCTCAGGCGCTCAGCCGCCCGCTCCTCCAGCCTGCACTGGCCCCCTGCACAGGACAAGCCCATCACCCTCCCCAGGGACCCCGTCGGGGCAGGCAGGAGCTGTGCACGGGAGCCTGCCTGCATGCCCAGTACGGCCAGCGTGCCCAGAGTGTGCCCAGAGCGTGCCCAGCCCTGCAAGCGCCTGCTGCTTTGCACGACTGCCGCTTGAGCATCTCTGCACCTTCACCCCAAAACCCATCAAACACCAGGGGGGTTTGGGGCACTGGGATTCCCACCCAGAGGTGGGCAAATACTCACGCGGGCGCAGCCCTCGCTGCCGGGGGCACCCGGCATGCCCCTGTCCCCCTTCTCTCCCTTGACGCCGCTGGGTGCTTCGAAGGCTGCCTGCAGCTGGGTGCAGTCCCCGCAGAGGCTCTGGGAGGAGGCAGGGAGTCAGGGGCACCCCAAGATGTTTGAGCCCCCCCCCCTCCCCAGGCACAACCCACAGCGGGAAGGTGCCCCGTTCCCACACTCTCACCTTCAGCACTTCAATATTCCTCTCGGCCATGACGGCCAGCGGCCCCTGGAAGAGACGCAGGAGGGAAGGGGACGGTCCCTGGGCTGGGGGGAGCGGGATGGGTGGCCGTTGGGGGGGGAGCTGCCACAGGCAGTGCCTTCACCTACCAGGTCTCCAGCCGGCCCGGGCAGTCCTGGCAAACCGTTGTGTCCTGGCATCCCCTAAAGTTGAGGAAAAAACCTGAATATTTAAAGCCTGCGCTGAAAGGTGGGCGGGATCGGTCCCCGCTCACCCTCCTCCCGTCTCCCACTGCTCACCTGGCGGCCTGGGGCACCGGGGGGGCCGGGGGGTCCAGGGGCTCCGGGGGGACCCTGCAACACCCCAAAATACAAACGGAGAAGAGGCGGGGGGTGAGGTGGTGGCAGGCGGGGGGGGGGCAGAGGGCGCAGCGCAGGGGGGACAGCACCCACCTGAGGGCCCGGCTGCGGCTGCCAGGACATCCCAGTCCAGAGTCCTGGGGCTCCCTGGGGCCGAGAGAAGTGGGGAGAGCGTTCAGTGGGGGTGAAGCAGAGCCGGGGGGGGGGTGCCCGTGGGCGTTCGCGGTGCTTACCGGCATCCCGGCGTAGCTGGGGTCTTGGCGGGGGCCGGGGGGACAGGGGCACTCCCCGGGGTCTCCCTGCAGAGAGAGGAGGTGAGGGCAGGGAGGGTGGTGGGGTGGCACGGGGGTACGGCTCGACCCCGACCCCAACTCACCTTCTCACCCCGGGCACCCTTCTCCCCCTGCGAGAAGGAAAAGCGGGAGAGGTGCATTAGCAGGGGGTCCCCAGCACCCCCCACTCCGTGCCCCCCGCCCAGGGCACGGCCCTTCTGCCACCCCCCAGTACATACCGGCTGCCCACTGGACCCGGGCACCCCGGGGAGCCCCCGCTGCCCTTCAGGGCCCTGCGAGGAGGAGGAGTGTGAGGAAGCTCAGCTCCGGGGTTCAGACCATGGCACGGAGGATTTTAACCAGCGTCGAGGGGCTGGGGGGAGGACGGTGATGCCCGTCCTGGGGGGCAGGACTTACCGGTGGCCCCGTGATGCTGGTTCCTGGTGGCCCAGGGGGCCCCACGGCACCTTTGGGTCCCGGAGATCCCTGCAGAGGAAGGACAGCAGGAGTGGGGGGGCAATGGGGGGAGGGAGGGCTGGGGGACGCTCCCTTACCTTGGCACCTTTCTCTGCCGCCATCCCCGGGGGTCCCTGAGGTCCGGGGGGGCCCTGGGGGCAGGAGAGGGTGTTAGCTCCCCCCAGCAACCCCAGCCAGCCCCCCCCAGCGAGCTGCGGTGACAGTACTGTCCCCAGGGTAGTCTGGCCAGGACCCCACTGCCACCATCCACACTGGGGGCTGACGCTGCAGGGGTGCAGCACCCCACCCCACCCCACCCCCCCCCATCCCTGCTTGCAGGAATCAGGGGGCTGGCGGCTGCCCCCCTCTCCCAAATGTTACTTACAGGGGTCCCGGGTGGTCCGGTGCTCCCGGGCTCTCCCTGGGAAAACCAGAGTGCGTGAGAGCCGACGAAGCCGCCCGGCACGGCACGGCACCGGCACCCCCCACACCCACCTGCGGTCCCGGCTGGCCGATCCCCCGCGGTCCCGGCTCACCCTAGGGAGACAGAGGGGCAGTGAGTGACCCCAGGACCCCCCCAACCAACACTCCATCTGCCCAGACGGCCCCCCCACCCCCGCCGCGGTCCCACTCACCTGCAGCCCCTTCAGCCCGGCCGGGCCCTGAACCCCAGGCAGCCCCGGCTTCCCCTAAAACACACCAGGGTCAGCCCCGAGCACACGATGCCACCGGGCACCGGTGACACTGTGGGGAGGGGGCACTCACAGGTCTGCCCGGCTGGCCGATGCCCGGGGGGCCCTGGTCCCCTTTGGCTCCAGGTTTTCCCGGGATGCCGATCACATCCGAAAAGTCTCCGTGCAGAGTGGGGCTGGGCTCGCAGGCGTCTCCCTGCAGAGGGGAGAGCACAGGAAAAGGGGGGGTGATGTCATGGTGATGGGATGTGGGTCCCCATAGAGGTGGTGGTGTGGGGGGGGCGTCTCACCTTCTCGCCTTTGGGACCGGCTGGACCCCTGATGCCGGGCTCACCTGACAGCCCCGGGAGACCGGCTGTGCCCGGGGTGCCTGGGTCCCCAGGGCTGCCTGCGTCCCCCTGGCAAAGAAAGAGAAGAAGGGTGACATGGGGGGCACAGAGCGCTCCCCCAGCCCCACAGCCCGGGGAGGCTGCATCCCCCTCTGCCACCGCCAGCCCCCTCCCCAGCCCCTCTCACCTTCTGTCCCTTCTGGCCAGCGTCACCAGGTCTGCCCTGGGGAAAACAGAGGAAGGGGTCAGGCCAGAGCATCCCCCAAAACGGGCACCCGTGAGCGCAGGGGGGCACTCACCGCTCTGCCCGGGGGGCCACCCTGGCCCCTCTGCCCCGGGGGTCCGGGCACTGCCAGCACCGTCGCTGCCCCTTCGAGAGCCTGCGGCGTGGGAGGGCACTGCCCGCATGGCTCGCCCTGCGGAGGGGACATCCTGGTGGCTTCGGGGACCTGAGCGCTGCGGGGGGCCCGCAGCTTCCCCCCCCGCCCCCGCTGCTCTCCCCATCTCAGGGCTGCCCCATGCAATGAGTTGCAGGAGGTCTCAGCTGGGGAGGTTTCATGGAACGGGGCAGGGAGCGGGGTCCCGGGGCTCACCTTCTCTCCTTTGAGTCCCCGCATGCCTGGATCGCCCTTGTCCCCTGGGAGCCCCTGCACCGAGAAGCCGTGGCAGAGGTGAGACTACAGCCCCCAGCTCCCAATCCTGCACCTCTGGGCTCCCAGCAGTGTGCCCCCCCCCCCCCCCCCCCCCCCCGCCGAGACCCTGCACCCCTCACTCACCGGTTTGCCCGTGGGTCCCTCCTGGCCGCCATCCCCCTGCAAGACATCAGGGGCAGGATCAGGCCGCAGAGGAATTCGAGGCTGCCCCAACACCACAGGGCAACGCAGCCATTGCTGCTCCCTCAGGGGGTGCAGAAAGGGGGGGGGCTCAGCATTGGGGTCACTCACCTTCTCGCCCTTGATGCCGGCCAGCCCGGGGAGCCCCGCTTTGCCCTGCCAAACACCCCACGCGGTTACACACCCAGCACCCACACAGCCCCAGGGCACCCCTCCGACCTGAGAGAAGGGGGGGGGGGGGGGCTCAGCCCCACATCCTCACCGGTAGCCCCGGTTGCAGCGGCACCGGTTCACCCTCGAGCCCCTCGGCGGGACCCCGCAGCAGCGCGGCGAGGACACGGGCATCGCAGGACAGGCAGGAGTCCCCCTGCGAGGGCAGGGAGAGGGCACAGCTCAGGGCGGGGGGACTGCAGGGGTTGCCCCCCCCCAGCGGGTAGGTGGGACAGAGGGATGGACACTCACCTTCTCTCCTTTCATCCCGTGGATGCCGGGATCTCCCTGGGAAGGAAACACAGGAGCTGGGCCTGGCGCTGCCCGCACGGGCTGGATGGTGCTCAGCGTCCCCCTGCTCCGGCTGGGGACAAACCAGGCCACCCCCCCAGCCCCATGGCACCTACCCTGTCCCCTTTGGGTCCCGTGGGGCCAGGTCTGTCCTGGGGAGTGGGAAATAAAGAGGGAGCATTAGGGATGCTGAGATGAGACCCTGCTCTGCCCTCCCCACCGCGGGCCCCCCAAATTCAGACTCACCGAGACCCCGCTCTGCCCTCCCCACCGCGGGCCCCCCAAATTCAGACTCACCGAGACCCCACTCTGCCCTCCCCACCGCGGGCCCCCCAAATTCAGACTCACCGAGACCCCGTCCTTGCCGGGTGCTCCGGGTGCTCCCCTGGGTCCCGGTTTGCCGGGCAGCCCGGTGGCACCAAGTGTCCCCTCGGAGATGGTGGGACACACCTCGCACGGCTCGCCCTGCCCGATGAGGACAGTGAGATGCAGCCCTGGGCTGGGGGGGGGGGGGGGGGGGCCCTCAGAGTGGCCCCCGAGATGCCCCAAGCAGCTCCGAGCCCAGGGATGGGCACCGCAGTGGAGCCGTGACAGCAGGGGCTACCGTGCCCGTGGCCCTGGCACCAGCCCCAGCCCCCCCCCCCCGCCACTGCACCCACCTTGTCTCCTTTCGGCCCCAGGACACCGGGGGGTCCCTGTGGGAGGAAGGCAGGGGATGGGGCTGCTTCAGGGAGCCCTGAGGCTGAGGATTAGCCCGGCAGTGCCCCCCCCCCCAGCCCCAAATGAGGCTGCCGGCTCTCCCGAACCCCTCTTCGCACCCGGGCTCGGATCCCACCACCGCTCTGGCCAAGCAGCCCCAGCCCGGAGCCAAGAAACCCGTCCCTGACCCCGGGCTTTGGCTCCAGGCTCCAGGTACTCACGGGTGTCCCAGGCGATCCTCCGGGTCCAGGAGCTCCCGAGCTGCCCTAGAGCCAGAGATGGGAGAACCTGAGCCCATCAAGGGAGAAAACCGCAGCCTTTGGCACCCTCAGCATCCCCCCCCTGCTACATTTCTCCCCCACTGCCACGGGGGTTTCCTGCCCCCCCAGCCGAGCCCTGGGCCACCCAGCTGGGGCTTGCCTGGCTGGCAGCACCGCAAGCCAGCACTGACTCAGCTGCGGTGGATCTGGCTCCAGCCGGGGATCCCTGGCACAACCCGCCGTGCCGAGCTGCCCCCACGCAGGACAAGGGGTGATCGGCACCCCTGTGCCCCCCCACTCACCTTTTCTCCTTTTGGACCTGGGGGGCCACCAGGGTCACCCTGAAAAGGAGAGGGGATGGCGTTAGCCCTGCCTGAGCACCCTGGCCAGCCAGCCCCATCGTGCTGTGCTGCTCCCCACCCCCCCTGCCGCAGCCCCACAGCACGGGGGTCCTCACCGGCTTCCCTGGAAAGCCAATCCCCGGAGAACCTGGCTTCCCCGGCGGCCCCGGCTCGCCAGCCAGTCCCTCGGGTCCCACAAGACCAGGGTCACCCTGAAAGGCAAAGAAGGGGGGTGTCAGTGCCAGCACTGCCGCTGGGTGCCCTCACCCAGAGCCCCCCCCACCACCACCACCTACCTTCTGACCCTTGGGACCCACCACGCAAATCTCTCCGGGCCGGCCCTGCCGGGATGGGAGCGAGGTATGAAGCGCCACACACGCCACAGGGTGGGGGGGGGGGCCGGGATGGTGGCCAGACCCCACTGCCCCGTGGGGGGGGACCCCAAGGGATGCCCAGGTACCCCACAGCATTACTCACATCGCGCCCCGGGCGCCCCGGCTTGCCCTGCAGTCCCCCGTCGCCCTTCTCACCCTTCTGACCCTGCGGGACAGACAGACGTCACCCACGCTGTCTCCTGTGCTACCCAGTTTGGCACCAGTAGGTCCTGGCACCTTTGCCAGCACCCCGGGACCCACAGGGATGTTGTCCCCAAATTGCAACGCCAGGACCCACGGGTGGGCTGGACTCACCTTCTGTCCGTCGGTGCCGGTTGCCCCTGGGAGCCCCTGTGTGGGGACAGGAGGGTGAAGTGGGTGCCCATGGGTGGGCTCATGTGGGTGCCCACGGCGGGGCTCACGCAGGGCTTCCCCCCTGCTCGCACCGCTGCTCCTTTTATCCCACCACAACCCACTGAGCCATCTCCTCGGGGCCGGACCCCCTCACCCCAGCCCGGGGTACACACAAGATGTTGGGGGGGCAGGGGGGAGCACCGCTGGGTCCCCACGCCACGACATCGCTTACCGCCTCTCCACGCTGCCCCTTCTCGCCCTGCGGCCCCTCGGCGCACTAAGGAGGAGGAACAGGAGGGAGGAGGGTGAGGGGGGGGCAGCAGAGCCAGGGAGGGGGGTACATAGTGGAGGGGGGGTGGGTCTCACCTGCACAGGGCCACCGGGGTGGGTGCGCACGCAGTCAGCACCCTGCGAAGAAGGGGGATGTGGCTCAAGGGCTCTGCTTGCACCAGCCACGGCCAAAGATGGGGGGCCATGGGGGGCAGGAGCATTCCCCAGGGCAGCGGGACCCCCGTGTGCCGGGGATCCCCGTGGGGAGCAGCCCCGCAGCAAGGGGGGGGTCCCTGCATGGGACGTAACCGGGGACACTCACGCGGTCGCCTTTCTCCCCCTTGCCGCCGGCGGTGCCGGGCACGCCGCGCTCGCCCTTCCCGCCCTGCAAGAGAGGGGACGTGCGGGTGACAAGATGGGACACGGGTGTCCCCCTGACCACGCGTGTGCCCACAGCAGGGCCCACGGCTCCCGGGCAGGGATGCTCCAGGCACAGCTGAGGGTCCCTGTTGGAGCTGAGCTCTGTGGGTCCTGGGGGGGGCGGGGGGGTGTGACAAACCTACCTTTGGACCCGGGGGACCGAGCGTGACCTAGAGAGAGAGGAAAAAGTTGTCCCGCAGTGCCCGGAGCCTTGCAAGGGCACGCTGCCTCCAAACGGTCCCCATACTCCCCAAACCCCGTCCCCAAGTGCCACCCCGGCAGCCCCCTGGGGCACCTGGGGTCCCAAACACCCACCATCCCCCTGCCATCAGCCCCACGCCTCCAGCCAGAGGTTGCCACAGGAATGGGGCCACATCTGGAAGGGATCAGAGATGTTCCCCGCAGAGAGATGTTGCCGGGCCCCGGGCCAGGAGGTCATGGGGTGCTGGTGGCCATGGGTGACACCCCCGAGCCAGCACCCCGGTGGCTTTTGCTGTCCCCAGCTCACAGCCCAGCCTGGCCCCAGCAGTGGCTGGGTCGGGGTCCCCACCTCCCACCAGCACAGCCCGGTGCTCCCCAGTGGCACACTCACGTTTGCCGAGGCCGTCTGCGGCGAGCAGGGTGGGCACTGGAAGAGACGGGGATGGCGGTTTGCACCAGCTCCACGCACCATCCGCAGCACCCAAAACCCTACAGCACCCACAACCCTGTGGCACCCACAACCCTGCAGCACCCACAACCCCGTGGCCACAGCCCCACTCCCCTGGGCACCCCACACCCGCGGGGCTGACCCAGCAGCGTCTCTCCCCACCAGTCCTGGGGTGCCTGTGGGCACAGGGGGATGCCCGGGGTAGAGAAGGGAAAAGCCAGAAGCACATTTTCCTCCTCGCTGTGTCCCCGGCGGGGGGCAAGGAGAGTGCAAGCCTGGCACCCGGCTCTCCCTGCGGATTTGTGGCTTGACCACAGCTCCGCTGGGCCAAACCAGCAGCTCCAGTCTGCTCCCCTGGGACCGGGGCCAGGCAGGACAGGGCTGCCTACACCCCGCACCTGGGTGCTGGTGCCAGCTGTGCTGCACACACCCCCCCCAGGGCTCCTGTTCCCCAGCTGGGGACAGCCCCACACCTCACCCCCTCACTGGGTGTCCCCAGCTGCCTGGTGGGGGTCCCTGTCACCCTGCGGGGAAGCGACATGGAGCAGAGGGCGAGAAGAAAAGCCAGGCAGGCTCGTGGATCCTGTGGCCACACGGTCCCCAAACCATGCTGCTGGATCCCCGGCAGGATCCCACTGTGGGGTCACAGCAGCCCCGGGGGGGACAGGACCACGCAAGGATGGGGCACAGGGTGTGCTGGAGACACTTCCCAGCTCCGGCAGCGCTCTGGAGACGATCGGAGGGAACAAAGAGGCCCTTGGCCTCGGCTGGGATCGCTCCAGCAGCGGCAGAGAGTAAGTGGGGCCTCAGTTCCTGCTCGGGGGAGTAGAGCAGCCGCTTCTGCAGGCGTTCCTGCAGCTCTGGCAGCAGCAGCAAGTTCCCGAATGCAGCGGGAACAGAGCCAGCCCAGGGCATAGATGGGCCCCCGGCACGGCCCCGGCACTGGTGGGAGCGGAGCTGAGTGTGCTGGGACTGGGGCAGCTGGGCTGGGACACCCTTTCCCACTTCCCCTCACCTTCTCCCTGTGATCTCCCTTCAGGCCGGTCCTTCCCGAGGTCCTCACTGGCTCCTGTGGAGCGAAAAGAGCACCCATGGGTGCTACTTGCCTGGGCACCCCTGGGTGCCATCTCCCCTTGCACCCCTGGGTTACCCTGCCTGGGGCTGAGCCCCGAGCCGGTGGCTCGGCCGGTGCAGACCGGTGTCGGGGCTGCAGGAGCCCTCCCCTCCCTCCCTCCCTGACATCTGGCCGCCGCCAGCTCCCTCCCTCCCCTCGCCCCGAGCCCAGCGCGGTGGAAAATGTGAGGCAGGGCTTTTCCAGCCGCTGCATCAACGTGGCTGCCGGCTCGGCAGCACCAGGCACCCGGCACGGCGGCTGAGCGCTGCCCACCCATGGGACCTGGAGGGGGACAACTGGAGTGGGAGGGGGACACCTGGGATGGGATGGGGACACCGGGGCTGGGCTGGGGACACTGGGGCCGGGCTGCCGGAGGGATGCAGGAGCTCACCACGCCCAGCGGCTCCTCCAGGCAGAAGCAGCGGGTGTACACCCGGCCCTCGGGCTGCGGCGAGATCTCGATGAGGTTGCTGCTCTGCATCAGCTCCGCTTGCCGACGGGTCTTGGGTGCTTCCGTGAGGCACTGCTAGGAGGGGGGGGGGGGGGAGGAGATGATGGGGTGAGAGCCGGGAGCCCCAGCCCTGCCTAAGCACCCGGGGCGATTCAGGAGAGGGATGCACCCTGCACCGTGCCAGCCATGGGGACAGGCATCAAGAGACATCTCAGGGTTGGTGGAGCGCTGGCCTGCGTCCCCAGCCACCATGAGCAGGTGACCCACAGGGAAGCTTTGGCTAAGAGACCTGCCCTCACCGTGCCTCAGTTTCCCCTCTGGGAAAAACCCTGACGATGCAGGGCAATGCCAGGGATTGGCCAGGGCTGGGGTGGGGGCTCAGGGCGGGGACTCACCCCGCTATCTGTGATCTCGCAGCACCCCTCTTGCCTGGCCAGCTCGGCGTCACAGTAGATCTGAGCTTGCTGGAGATCAAACTGTGGCGAGAAGAGGGTGGCAAGTCAAGGGCAGGCAGGGACGGATCCTGCGCCGCAGGCAGAGCGTGCCCGCACCCCCACGGGGACTCACCCGGACTGGGGTGCCGCGCACAGCACCCAGCCCCAGGAAGGCATTGCCCTCGGGGGCCAGCGCCCGCCGGGGGGCCAGAGGCTTGGAGGAGATGGAAGCGCAGTCGAGGTGGACGGAGATGGCGCGGCTCTGCACGGCCACCACCACCTTGTGCCACCGCCCGTCGAAGAGGGACGCCACGGCCTTCCCCGCGAAGACGGCGCTGACGAACGCGGCCCCCGGCGCCCTGGCCTGAAACTCCAGACTCTTCTCGGGGCCGTGCACGGCCAGGGAGAGCTGCGCAGGGAGGGGACAACACCGTGCTCGGGGATGGCTCCCGGCTGTCCCCTCGCTGCCAGCGCATCCCACCGCCCCGGGGCCATACCTGGGGGTAGCCCTGCCGGTCAGTGACTTGGAAGAGGTACCAGTGCTCCCCAGTGCTATTCTTCTTCAGCAGCAAGGTGAAGATGAGGGTGAAGGCGGGGGGCAGCCCACGGGGAAACACCTGCCTGCAGGGACAGGCGTCAGGGGCGGCCGGACCCTGAACTGGGCTCCGATGCTGGTGTTTGCACCGAGGCTGGCGGCAGCACCGGCCCCGACACCCCCATCCACATAGCACCTGCCGGCAGCGTCACCCCCAACAGCCCCCTTGGGGGGCTGTCCCCATCGGTGGCACCGTGGATGCCATCGGGGCGGATCCAGCCCCAGCCCCAGCGCCTGGAGCTGTTTGTGTCTGGGAGACGCCAGCACTTATGCAACAGGAGCCGAACACGAGGCAGACAGCAGAGATGCTTCCTCCCGTCCTGGCACGGCACGGGGGAGCTCGGATCGTCCCCCCAAAGCACAGGCCTGCATTCCCCACGCCCGCTGGATGTGCATGTGGGGGAGGGGACTGAGCCCAGCCTGCCCCAAGCACCCCCACCCGCTGTCCCCATCCCTGCCCCACGGCACAGCCACCGTCTCCACCACACACCCCCAAACACGGCCCTCCCGGGGTGGCTGCAGCACTCGGGGCCGTGCGCTTATCATCACAGGACTGAATTTTCAAATTTTGTCCCTGGGCAGCCGGGAAACGCGTCCCTGACCCCACAGGCTCCGTGGGACGGATGCTCCCACGCAGGCGGCGGGCAGCCTGGTCCCCCCTGGCACAGCGGGGAGCTTGGCAGCCGTTCCCCGATGGGACCGTGCCCACCTCGCCCGCAGCCCGCTCAACCACTGGAAATATTTGCTTTGGGCTCTGCTCTGCTCCCAGCCTCCGCTCCACCACACCAGCAATTTTCCAAGCCACTGGTCTGGAGCTGGACCAAGGCACGGGGAGCGGGCAAGACCCAGTGATCCCCTCTGCTCTCCATGGGGCACAGGGCTGTCCTTGCTGGGCACCGAGGAGCAGGGCTGGGGTGGAGGGGCACCCACGGGTGCCCACCGGGAGCTCACGACCTGGCTGCCAGGGCCACCCCCGCGCTGAGCACTCCCCAGGGCTGGCTCTGGGCTGCCGCAGGCACCCGGCCAAGAGCAACACCAGCCCGGAGCATCCGTCTTCTCGAAGCCATCTAAGGACTTGGTTGCCCAGGTCAGGAGCCAAGGCTGGGTCTCCTTCACCCTCGGGAGAGCCCCGTGCCCGGTGTAGCCGTCTGCCAGCCCCAGGGTGATGTGGGGACAGGCGGGCTGGAGGAGGCAGGCGTACAAACCACAGCAGCTTCCTCCAGGAACAGGACGTGGACCTGCTCCCACCTTGCCACGCTGCAGCATCCCTGCCAGCCCCTGCCCCTCGGGCATGGCCGGAGACGGTGGGGCCGAAGGCCGGTCTGCGTCTCCCTCCCCCAGCAGACCCCTGTGGCCCCAGCAAACCCAGCAGTGCCTGCTCAGAGCTGTGCAGCGTTTGGAGCTCGTCTAGACCCCGCCGAGCGCCTGCCAAGCTGAGCAGAGCAGACACAGAGCAGCCATAGAGCCGCGGTTGCGTAAGGGCTGGCCACGACCCAGCCGAGCCGCTGCAGCCCGCGATTTACTTTCTAGGAGGAAGGTGGTTTGGGCAGCCCCAGGGCTGCACCGCTGGCACCTCCGCGTCCCCCCGGGGGTGCCACGGAGCTGCCTGGCCTCTCCAGCACGAGCTAAGGGCAAAGCTGAAAGTGCTTCACCCAGGCCCCATCCTTAAAACACGTGGGGACGGTGCCTGGCGGTGCTTTGGCCACCGAGGGCCACCCCACGAGTCGCCCACACTCACTGCGTGGGCTGGACCAGCGGCACGGCGCCCAACCGCAGCACCACCGGCCCCCTCGGGTTGCGGACTTTCTTGATGGAGGAGATCTTCAGCAGGTCGAACCTTTTAATCAGGTTGAAACCTGCAGGACAGAGCGGAGGAGGTGAGACCTGGCCCCGGAAAGGGTGCTGAGGGCTGATGCTCGCAGAGCAGAGCCCATCCCCGGGGAGTTGGGGCTGCGCGGGGACCCTGTCTGCGGGGCGAGAGGGGCTTTCCTTACCCGTTATGTTCTCATACTTGTCCCCAACCAGATCCTCATCCCACAGCTGCGGGCACAGCCCCCCTGTAAGGTAAATCAGCACATCACCGTGGTGTCCCCGAGGGCAGGGGGAGGCTGTACAATTAGGGTTGGACTGTGCAGAGCCCCCTCAAGCCCCGGAGAGTCTTGAGGTGCTTGCAGGAGCGCACCCTGACACCCCCCCCCCCCGCCCCCCAGCCCCCCGAGGCCACTGGCAGCCGTGGGGCAACACAGATCCAGCAACCATCGCTCCCACGGCAGCGCTGGCTCCTTGCAAATAGCCTGCCGGGAGCGAAGCAGCAGGTTTGGAAGGGACGGGGGGTGAGGTCAGAGCTGGCCCCGGCCGCCTCCCGCGGCAAGGTCACCAGGTGAAATGCTTTTCCCAGTTGCTGCGTGTTTCGCCTCAAAACGGCCCCGCGGCTGGAATCGACATCAAGAGACTCGGATGGGTGCCGCGGACACCCAAGGAGGGGAGATGGCACCCAGAGCTGCCCGCTGGCCTGCTTGTCCCATCCTGGTGACTTCCCCAGACCTGGTGGCCCCAGGGGACAGGCGTGAGGGCTCGGCCAGGGGACAGTGAGAGGCTGAGCCGCAGGAAATGCCGTGTCAGTCGCGATCACGGGGGATGCTGGTGCTGTTTGCAACTGTGCTGACATATTATTGCTTCAGCAGCATCAATCCACCTCCGCTGGATCCTACCAGATGTTGGGAGGCGCAAGATAGAGGAGGAAACAAGGGGGTATTGAATGAGGAATTTGTTTTGTCTCCGTGCGCACCAGCCTTGGAGCAGGGATGGCTCTTGATGATTCACCCGCCTCTTCCCCAGCCCTTGGCCATTCCCATGGGGGTGGCTTTGGTCCCCACAGCCCCCTTGCCCACCTCCGCCTCTGCCCAAGAGCCCAGCACCACCACGGTGCTCCCCCCCCTGAGCTGAGCGCTCGCTTGCACGGGGCCAGCGGCAGCACAGGGAGGTGCCCCTCGCCCTCGGGACCCCCGACACGGCCGCAGCGTTGGGGGCTGCAATACTGGAGCTGGCCCCACACGCACGTTTGGTGGCCAGGGGCAGAGCTCCCTCCCGCCGGTGGTGAGATCATCCTCAGTGGGGCACGGGGTGGAAAATGAGGCATAAATCACCCCGGATGCCATCTGCTTTGAAGCCTCACTGGGCCCCAGCGCTGCCCCTAAGGGAAAAACCTCATCTCCCCAGCCCTCATTTCCCTAACGAGGGGCTGGGAGCCAGGAGGCCAGGACACAGGGCTGGTGGGTGCTGGTGCTGGCCACAGGGTCCCTTGCACAGGCAAATGCAGGCAGCCCCCAGGCCCCCCCCACCCCAGGGATGAGCCACCGCTCCACCCCCGCAAAGACTGATGCAACTGCGGCTTCGCTGCCAACGGCTCCTCCCCACCATCCGCCTCGAGCTCACCCCGAGCCGCAGCCGGCCCCACGCCAGGACCCAAACACAGCGGCCCCGCAGCCAGGGAAGCCTCATCGGGGACCCCCATGAGCTCAGTCATCACCCCCCCCTCCCCGTCCCCAGCTTCCTGGGGACAGCCCCGAGCCCTCCACCGTTGGCGTGCACCACGGCTAAACCTCTTCCCACCTCGCAGCCGGAGGCCCAAAACCCCCTCGAGAGCTCTGTGCATCCTCGCCGCTGCTCCGAGCGGTCCTGGCTCACCTACAGAGCAGCCCCCGCTCGCTCCCGGCTCCCGCCCGCGCTGCCGGACGCCTCTGCCTTTGCCGCGGGGCATTCCCGGCGCTCGGTCGCTGCGGGGGCGATGACGGGGTGTCCCCGGGCTGGCTCCCCGTGGCAGGGCTCGCCCGGCTCTCCCTGGCCCCCAGCCCGCACGGGATGCTGAGCAAAGCCCCAAAGCCAGGATGATATCTGCAGCCACCGCTCCGGCCACCAACACCGTGGTCCTGGCGCACGGGGGACCCGGCACAGCTCCCGGTGTCTCCCGGTCACCTCTGCCCCGCGATCCCAGGGTCTGAGCAGGGACAGGCAAGGAGGGAGTTGCTCCCGTGCAGACCCCAAGCCCTCGCTCCCGGTGTTCTTTACCTTCCGCTGGCGGCAGCTCTTTCCCCTCGCAGGCACTGACGAGCCCCGCGAGCGCGAGGGCCCAGAGACCCCTCATGGTGTCGGTGGCTGCGGCGCGGGGCCAACGCGGCTGCCTGCATGGGAGAGAGCTTGGGCAACAGCGGGACAGGCACGTGGTGGCCACCGGCCCACGGCCTGCGAGCCGGGACACTGCCAGCAAAGCCACCAGCGCGGAGTTGACGCTGACCCGCTCGGGCAGGTTTTGGGGGGTCGGTGTGACCCCCATCCACTGCTGGATCCCCCGCCTGCTCCACACCCAGCCCCAGCATCCCGGCATTCGCAGGTTCAGCCCAACCCCAGCACCCAGATTTACTCCAAACACCTGGAAACACAGAGACTGGCATCCCTCCTGTGCAGACCCCCGCCCCGGGAATGTCTTGCTCCCTCTTGTTTTATCTCCCGGTCCCCTGTGGATCCCTGGGGTGGCCCAGGCCCCGCGGGGTCACCCCGATTTGGCCTCCCTCCTGTCTGCTTCCTGCCACGAGGCAAGGCAGGGCTGCCAGCAGCCGAAGCCGGGCGTCGTGACAGACTGGACACGGCCACGCCGGGCTCCGCTCGCCGCTGCGGGAGCGGGACGTGCATCCCTGCGCCTCCGTCCCCACGCACGGCAGCGGGGGGGACCCCTGCGACAGGCGGCCCTGCCTCTGTCCTGCCTGCACTTCGCTCTCTCGCACCCCCAGAGCTTTTCCCTGCCTGCACCCCAGCTCCCCTGCCCCAAGCCTCCTGCACAACCCCTGTGACTCCCGGCTCCTCGCTGCTGCCTCCCGGCTCCCCCGGCCCAGCACCGCTTGCACCCACCCTGCTCCCCCTGCACCCACCCTGCTCCCCTTGCACCCACCCTGCTCCCCCTGCACCCACCCATGCCCTCCCTCACCCTCCCGCCTGCACCCCGTTTTTCAACCCTCGCACCCTCCGCACCGGCGGGTCCCCACGGCTCCGGGACGCCGTCCCCAACCCTCCCACCCCCGGGGTGGTGATTAATTATGATTAATTACGGGAAATCCCCCGTTCCGCGCCCGCCCGACAGCGCGGCCGGGCTCTTGCCCCGCTCCCCGTACCCGGGGCCGGCGGGGGGGTTCCGGGGCTCACCTGGGGGGGGGCCCGGGAGGGAGCGGGCGGCACCGCGGGTCCGGCCGGTCCGGGGCGGTGGGAACGCGGCGGGACACCGGGAGCTCCGCCGCGCCGCCCCCGCCGCCTTCCCCGCCTCCCTCCGAAGCGGGAGGGGAGCGGGGGGGGGGGGGGGAACACCCAAGCCGCCCCCCCCGACGGCTGCCCTCCCTCCGCCTCCCCAACCCGGAGGGGGGGCCCGAGCTGCCGCCCGCCTTCGCATCCCCGCCCTTCTCCTCCTCCTCCTTCTCCCCCCTCCGGCGCCTCCTCCGGCAGCGCCCTCCACCCCCCCCCCCCCCCGCCGCCTTCCCCCTCCCCAGAGGGCTGGACCCCCGCCCAAAGGAGTGGACCTGGAGCGGGGGGGTGCCCCAATCCCCGGGATGGATGTGAACCCCATCCCCTGGCTGCCATCCCTGTGGAGCAGCTTTTCCTCCTCCCCTCCCCCCCCAGGGACCAGAGGGGACCCAGCTGGTGGCACCGGTGCTGGCATCTCTGGCCAGAATGGTTGCCACTATGGGGAGGAGGGTGTCCCACTGGGGATGCTCCTCCACAGGCACAGCACCGGGCCCCAGCACCCGGCCAAGGTGGCAGCAGCCCCCGCAGCATCAGGGCAGGCAGACCCCGCTGCGCCGCGGAGCTGATGTACCGTCCCCGGTGACTGGTGACTTGGGGACAATACAGTTTAGGATGAGGCACTTGGGGTCAGAGCCCTGGGACGGGGGTCCTCGCCGCCATCCCTCCCCCGCTGGCAACTCTGCCGGTGGCAGGAACACTGCCAGCGCCTGGCAGGGCTCCTTCCTCATCCTCAGCGCGGAATTTTCACAGCTGAACCAGCCTCTCCGATGGCGCTGGGGCCCTGCCAGCCCCAACGAGCCCCGAAGGGATCCGGCACCCGTCCCGCCTGGCTGCCCGGCTCCCCTCCAAAATCCCCTGCCCACGCGAGTGGGGCCACCCTGAGCACCCACAGGCAGGGAGCAGGCCCACCCAGGTCAGCCCCCAACCCACGCGAGGTTGGGTCTGGGGGATGCCAAGCCACCATGGGTGTCCCCCAGGTCCCCATCCCCGCATCCCCTCCCCGAGGGATGCCCAGCACGACACACATCCCCCCGCTCAGCTGCTTTTCTCCCAAATTGTGATGAATCTATTTACACTGAAGCTTTACAAATGTGTGTTAGGGACGCATGCATCTCAATAAACGCGCTCTAATTAACAACTGATATTTATTCAGCCCACAGTAAATAAGCTGTCGCAGGCAAACCAAGCGATGCAGCTTTTGAAGAGCGGCTCGACTATGCCATTTATTCAGCTGACAGCCCCCGAGATGAGGTGACAGAGCACTTGATTCTCCTGCGAGTCACCTACTGTAGTAATTAAGGGTAATTAAAGCAAGTGGGTACAAAACATAACGAAACTTTTATGATTCCTCTTCATTGGACAATTACTCACACCGAGCTGTTCTTTGTGGCCACCGAGCGGCCACGACCCCGTGTGTGACCACGAGTGGGGTTTGTGCATGGGTGGGGGGAGCTGGGGCGGGTGGGACCTGCCCTCGCCCCCAGCACGAGGCGCAACCCCACGACCCGGCCCCACAGCCCACCTCACAGCAGAGCAGAGGTGAGGGGCAACCTCTCAAGCCAGACCCCTTGCTAACACCAGCACAGCCGGCAGCTCCCAGGGCCCTCCCATTCGGCTGTGAATGGCTTTGGGGTGTTGCACTCATCCCTCCTGCTGCTCTTCCCGTGCCTCAGTTTCCCTCATTTGCACTCCCCTGGGTAGGTTGTCCCCAATCCTGTGGCACTAAGACACCCCAGGAGCACGGGGACGGTGTGGAAACTTCAGCTCCTGCTTCCCCTTGTTGTGCCGGTGCACGGGATCGGTGTCTCCGGGCGGGGGGGGGAAGGAGGCCGGATCCTGCTCCCCTGGTACTTTGCAAAGCGGGGAGCAGTTTCCCTCCAGCCCGTGCCGGCATCCCCTGGAGCGATGCCGAGCTGGGGGCTGGAAAGCAGGATCCTGCAGCCCCTGCCCACCGACCCAGCATGGAAAAACCAGAGCCAAGCTGCGCTTCCAAGAAACAGCCGCGCCGGCTGCCAAGAAACACGAGCCGGAGCAGAGCCCGGCAATTTTCAGGCTGGAGACAATTTGCCTCCGACCTCGAGCGTCATGCGGAGGTTGTGTTACCGCAGGGCTCCCCGCCTGCCGTGCCGAGCTCGGCCCCGGAGCTGCCGGCACGGCCCCCTCAGTGCCCCCCCAGTGCCGGGGGGGCGAGGGCTGGGGTAACGCCGGCTGAGCCCTGCCAGCTCCCAGGCAGCTTTGTTGGCCCGGGCAGCGCACAGGAGGGAATTCTTGTGGCGAGGATTTCGGCAGTTCAGCATTTATTTCTGCACCAATTTGGGCACAAACCCCCCCCCCCCAGTTCCAGTTTTTGCTGGGAAAGAAACAGCCCGCGGAGATTCTTTCCAGCTTGAACGGGGCCCGTTTTGCTTCCATGGGGTTAAAACAGCAGTTTTACCTCTTTTGGAGGAAATACGTTGCTGAAGAGCGAAGGGAGAAGCAGCCGAGCTCGCCGTCCCCCCACGCTGCCCTGGGTTGCGCAGCCTCAGAGCGGTTTCTCCATCATTTCCGCCCCCCAAACCAAACATTTTTGGCACGGGGCTGGGGGGGAGCTTGGCTCAGATGGAAGCTGCAGATGGAAAATGGCTCCAGAGCTCTCCAACTTGCTCAGACCTGTCCCGTACCACACACACACCCCCCCCCCCCCAATCGCTGCCCGGACCTGCAGGATTGGGGGCTGCTCCCCCCATTCCCCCCCGTGCTGGGGCACGCTGCGAGCCTGTGCCTCTCACCCGGGCTCCGTTCCCTCACCGCATATGGCGTCTCCATGAGTAATAAAAGCTGCTAATTGCCAACAGATGCCCCAGGAAACCCTGACGCTGCCTCTCACGGCTGCGTTTGGCTGGGAGGGGAGAGGAGGGGGAACCGGAGCCGGCCCCGGGTCCCCCCGAAGTGCAGGGCGGGGGGGGGGGGATCCCGGTGCGTGGCGGCTCCCAGCAACGGAAGCGAGAGGACGCGGCTGCTATTATTAACAAAATTAGCAGCCAGGTCAAGGCAGCTGGTGAGCATCCCCACGGAGGGGCCGGTGCCCCAGACCCAGAGCATCCCCCCTCCCCCCCCCCGGCTCTGGAGAACTGCCCAGCCTCCCACCCCACACCCTCCGTGGGGCCGGGGAGCCATGGCCGAGCCCCACTGCACCCCCTCGCTGTGCTGGGTCCCGCCACCCACCCGCAGCGTCTCCTGCAGCCCCGCCCCCCCCCCCACCCGGCGTGGGCAGATGAAGCCCCCACGCGTGGGCCCAGCCCCCCTCCCTGTGCTGTGGCTCCAGTATTTGTTGCACAACTGGAGCTGGCGCCAGCTCAGCGCCGGCAAAGCCGGGGGCAGGAGGCGGCTGTGCCGGGCCCGGGACCCCCCATCTCCCCTTTCTCCTTTGTTTGATGAAGCTCTAATGGGGAGGGGGGGGGGGGAAAGAATTTGGCCCCTTCCCTCCCCTCCTCCAAGGGCGGTGACACCCTCCCTGCTCCCATCACTGCTCTGCAGCCCCCAGCCCGCTTCTTCCCGCATCCGAAACCCAACTTGGGCGGTGCTGGGATGAACCGGGTTATGCAACTAGCGCTTCAGCCTTAACTGGACTGTGTGGGGAGGGGGGGGTGGGCAGAGAGAGACCCCTCCACTCCGGGGGTCACATCCTGCCCCAGTGCCCCAGCACGGCTGCGTTGGGGCTGGGAGCAGCATCTCCTGTCCGGTGCCACGGGGGCCCATGGGCACCCCCCCCCCCCGCTTCGGCACTGCTCTGCCACGGGCCCCATGCCACTGGGAACCAGTAAACTTCTGGCAAGATACGGGGATGCTGAGGGAACAGGTGGAAAACGGCGGGGCTGGCACTGCCAGGCACGGGCAGAGCAGTGGGAGGGGGTCACCACGCAGCACGGCCGGGCTGAGCCGGGGCTCTGGGTGTCTGCCCCCTCCCTCAGCTCAGCCTTGCCACCCTCTCCTGTCCCCCCGCCAGATGCAGCACCCCCAAAATCATGGCCTTCTCCTGCAGCGCCTTGGTCCAGGACCTTCCCACCCCGCTTTGGGGTTCCCATGGGGGTCTCCACTCTCCCATGGGCACAGGCACAGCTCATGCCTGGCGAGGGTCCCCCCCGCCCCGAGCCGCTGCAGGCACCAGCAGCTCCGTGCGCTCCCAGGGCCGGTTCGGTTCATGTCACTCCCCTTTAGCTAACGAGGACTAATTGATGCCCCAGCAAGGGAAAGCGCAGCTGCCCAGGGCGGCGGGAGCCAGAGGTGCCCTCCAGCCCCCAGCACCCACGGGAGCTCGGGGTGCTTGGGGCAGCACCGCAGCGCAGACAAGGAGCAAACCAGAGGCCACTGGTGCAAACTGGGCAGCATCCTTGGCCCGGAGGTCTCGACCCGGGCTCCTGGTCCAGCACTAGCCCGGAGTTCACGGCCACAGCTGCTGGTCCCACTGCCACGTTGCCAGCCCACCCCGGCACCGGCGCCGTGGGCAGCACCCCCGCACTGCAACGCCCAGCTCCCGCCGTGCCGATGCCAGGGATGCTCCGGCAGCACGAGGCACCCCACGTTACGTGCCTCTGCAGATTGCATGGTAATTGCCTCCGAAGTTACTAATTTGCTCATAGATTAATTACCGTGTAATTTACTGCTCTTGGCTCCCGCGAGAAGATGCTCATTTGCAAGGCAGCGCGTGGGTATGGGCTCAGTCTTGGTCAAGAGGATCCTCCGGGCACCGGGCAGAGGCGCAGACCGAGCAGGGAGGGGGGTTGGGGGGGGGAGAAGACAGACTGGGGGTCCCCACTGGGTGACGGCCCCCCCCCTCCCGGGGCAGACCCCTGACACGAAGCACGAGGCGGCGGCCGTGGCCCCACGGCACCACAGAGAGTGAACTTTTATTTCCAACAACGACAGCACCTGCCCCGTGGAGTGGGGATGGTGGGGAGGGCTGGGAGGGGGCGGCCAGGGGGGTCTCGGGGAGGGGGAAGTTGGGGGGGTGGGGGGGTGGCCGCTTGCGTGCACACGGTGCACGGCGTGAAGAAACATCCCGGTAGAAAAGAACAAAGATCCGATGGCCTCGACAGCCGGTCCTGCCCCGGGGAGGGGGGGTGCAGGCGTGATCGGTGGGTGAACGCGGAGGGGTGGGGGGGGTTGGGGGGTGAGGGGGGTGG